TGGAAAGTTAGGCAATAAACATTAATACTCCAATTTGGTGAAGAGAAAATCGTCAGATTTTCCTCTCCTTGCAGCACAACAAAACAAGAATTTTTTTTAATGACATCTCCGTTTTTCTTTTTCTCTCATGTTCCATGAAAATGATAGAAAGGGTATTTCACTTTAATTTTTGAATGCCACTTTAATTTAAAAGAAAGAGATGGATAGCGAGTGTGGGAAAGGTTGGGGATGCCCAGGTTGACGGTTCTCTAGAAGCACATAGAGAAGAGGAAGGTCATGAAATGTTAGGTGTGTACAAATGATGTATTCATAATTGCTTGTGCAAATTAATGTATTTAAGAAGATCACAGACACAATACATAATAATAAGAAATGATGATGATGATGAGACACAATACATACACAAATATACATGCATAGGCAAATGGAGGAAGGTTGGGGTGTGTTTCATGTGATTTGAGCTGCTGGTTATAGTGGATGATCTTCTTTGTTGGTTTCAGTGAGTATTCGTAGAAGTCTAGAAGACAGTGGAGGTCTGGTCATGGTTAAGGTGGTGGTGGATGGTTTGGAACTAGCTCGGTAGGGAAGAACATTAGTTGCTTTGGCTCCATATTGGTGGTTTTTGTCTTTGGATTTTAGAGAAGTTACCCTCTGTGAAGGGTGAGAGGAATTTTCTCGGAAAGAGAGAACTGGAAAAGAAAATTTGTTTCGGAAAATAAACATTATAGAAAAGAGCCTATAACTTCCAAAAAAAAGAAGAAGAAAAAAAAAAAAAAAAAAAAAAAAAAAAAAAAAAAAAAAACGGAGAGCCTTTTCTTGGAAAGCATTTTCATATCACACATTGCACAAGCATTCCCATGCATATGACAAACATAAAGCATAAACTTGAAATAAAGGTAAATAGAACTTGTTTTAATAGAAAAATAAACAAAAGTACAGTATGAAATGGTGCAAAAGTACAATATGAAATGGTGTTTTCATTTGTATTCTTGGTATATCAGAGAAACACAATCTGGTTTTGCAAAAGAGTGAGAAATTTTCTAGGAAAACAAGAATGTGCAAGCACGAATCCTAATTTTGGAGAGCGTAACAACGTGTTAAATTACCTTTTAATCCTTGTAGAAGAAGATTATTTACATATCCTTGAAAGTAGCTTGAAATTCCTACTTCGACCTTGAGTAGAAGATAATCAACTAACACTAACTTTGAATATTTCTTATCTAAATTATAGATTAAAACAAAAGTTATAGACTCAGTTTTGTTCTACGAAATTTGCCAACCGTAGTCCTATTGACCAATTACAAACAATTTCTGTACATAAAGAATTGAATCATGCAGATTTTAACAAACAGTTTTAAAAATTTGCATAGATCAACTAAAAACAAAGTAAAACCACAATTGTAGATCCAAAAAGATGCATATGAATGAAAACAAAGACTAAAAAAGTCTATCAGCCGAGCTTCCAAGCGACTCGTGATGCATCAGAGGGAACAGTAGCATGCTGCTCTATATCTCAAAGCTGTGGCTAGAAGGTGAGAACAAGCACACTAGGAGAACAAGGAAGCTATCAAAGTAAGACACATTGCAAACCATAATAGAGGAGCTGACAACTTCATAGCAGAGTCGTACCTCACCATTAGTGAGTTAAGCAGGATTCTTTGCACAGAATAACATGTAGTCTTCATGCAAAAAGGTGTGTTATTCAATACCATAATAACAAATGGAAAATAAAGATATTACTGCTCCTTGTTAAAACAGAAAGGACCAATAAGGAAATTTTCTTGCGAGTCCAAAATTTTAGAGACAGCAGCTTTCCTATATCAAAATCTAAATTAGTAACTAATGTCAAGGTTTGCTGATGATCCTGAACCTCAATTGGAGCTTGTTTTATGCAAAATACGTTACAAATCCAACGCAAGTAAAGCCGGGTTCTTCCAGGCACTAATGTGGATATCTACAAAGAATGTTTAAATAAATATCTTATGAAAAAAGTTACTTTCCAACCAACTTCATGGTTGATTTATTTTAATAAGTTGGACATAAAGTTATGGACTCTATATTTATTTATTTAAGAACTTTGGGAACCCAGGAAGGCTAAAAACAACCTTAAAAACCGTACGCGTATCATAACTCAAGCAACAATTCTATTTTGGCAGTAAAGGTGTCTTTTTCAAAGAGAGGTAAAAAAAAAAACTAACCTTAAAAGTTTGTGATGTACACAGCAACAGCACAGTAGCCAAAATCGTGAAGGAAAAACTCGCCGGAGAAATTGAAGAAGGATCGCCGGAAAGTGTAGGAAGGCAACAGAAAATAAAAGTAAGGTATGATAAAGGAAGATAAAAGTTGAAAGGATCGGGGTTTTTAAAGAGAAGAGGCGAAGGCGACACAGAATTCAAAAGGTCAAGGCAAAAAGTGGCGCAGCAGATCTCGAAGTTTGGGTTTTTGTACATTCCTCGTGTCATCACTCCAAGGTGTCAGACCAAGATTGTGTCTTTTCAATAATCTCACCCCATTAATGAGGGGAGAGATTATTGGGAGCAGATGAAAACATAAAAAATGACTCGGACTTGATATGATCCGTATTGTTAAGAACGGGTCGGGTATGAATAGCCAGGATAGAGCAAGTCCACGCTGAATGGGCTCAGATCCAAGAAGTCATTGCGGAAGCCCATGTTAAGATCCAAAAAGTCGAGTCCAGACAGAAGAGAACAAGTAAGGTCCAACTCAGAGTTGGTTATAACCGTCTATAAATAAGGAAAATTAAGAGGGAAAGAGGTTAGAGATTATTGAGAGTGTAAAATTTCTCTCTCTACAATTGGGGAAAAATTCTTTGTACTTTCACACATTAATTAATTGAGACTTAATGAAGCCCGTTAACAAGTGAATGAATTCAGAAATAACCGTTTTGTCTTTGGTATGTCCTTGGGTTTGGGTAAGAATCCGAAATTATTTCATAACCCGTTAATGATTCGGATCCACTGAATTCAAGTTGTTACACTAATTATGAAATTTTGTTGTCCTTTAGTAAAATAAATTTAAATATTCACTGATATCAATACAATAAAAAATATATATATTAAAACTCACTAACATAAAAAGTTTAATTCTCCAAACAAACAAACACCTCAAGAGAATTTTGGAACGGAGGGTAGCAAATTATAATCCATGAGTTTGGACGCACCTTTATTAAAATTCTATTACTTGTAAAATAAAATAATAATAAAATAAAATAAAGTAAAATTTGAAATTAATACTTATTAGTTTTTTAATATAAACATAAAAAATTTATTATATATTTAAGAGAATTGACCCAGTAGTCGTAGTCGACTGTGTGGAATTTCGCACAACTTCTTATCACCTATCTTAAATAAATATGTTATTATTATAGTTCATTACTCTAATTATTTATAATAGTTCCTAATTGTATTTTTACTGTCCTCTGTGTGTCTATCAGTAAGCAAAAATTTCAACACAAAATGTTATCCATGTAAAACATTTCACTGTAATATATATATATATATTTGGAGTTTTAATGCATAAATTATGTTGGGATCTTCACCCTCTCCTTCCAAACTCTTCCCAGCTAGATCAATTCTTGGTTCCATCTTATATTTGTTCTCTTTTCATCAGAGTTGTCTTCCCGTAGAAGTTTCTCTGTTCATCAGAGTTTTTTGTTTTTTGTTTTTTGTTTTTTCCTCTCTCCATGATGTATTCGGTTGGGTTATTTTCCCTCCAGTCTCAAGTTAGCTGTTTATGTGGGTGGTCGGCTGGATGGGTTCATGGTTTATGCGGTCTGTTGGATCAGGAGTTTTGATTGGTGGCCAACAGATGGATCCATATCCATATCCATATCCACCGATCTTCCCTTTTGACCCAGTTATTGTATTGGTTTTCTTTGTTTCTCTTTTCGTTCTAAATTTCTCTGGGTGTTATTTTGGTTTCTGTCTTTTCTCTGTGCTGTTGTGGTCTTCCATGGCGGATTCATCGCTTGTAAGTGCTAGGATTTCGTCAGTCGCCATGGACTATGGGACATGGTTTGGTGTTGCCGAATTTAATCCTCCGGTGGGTGTGTTCTGTAAAATTCAGCAAAATGTAATATGGAGGGCTTGGAATGCCTTTGTATTTGCAGCGTCTCTGTGTACACCTCTAATTGGTTGCTTTGTGTTTTGCTTCTTGTTTATATGTTCTCATCCCGGTGACCGCACTGGCTAACCTTTGCGATCTTGGTTTTATGTAGTCTGGTTTGTTTCCCAAAAAAAAAACTGTAATATATATATATATATATATATTTTTCGGTCTTTAGCACAGTTATCTTGAAAATATTTTTTTAGAATTTTTTTATTTTATTTTTTTAGTGTTTGGCTTTTTAAATGTTTTTTTTTTTTTTTTTGAGTAAAAATCAAAACTTGTTATGACAAAAGCAACAACCCAAGATAGTAAACATGACACATCTACACACAAAGAACATAACATAATAATTTATACGTGATTTAGCAACAGTCACGGTTGAAATTTGACAAAAGTTTTCACTATTTATAAAATTAGAGATTATAAATTTTCAATCCCTCACTTAGTTTTTGTATGCCACTCCAAACCCTAAACGCCCTTATATATCCAACTACAAGAGATTAATTAAGATTCCCGACCCATGAACAAAAACAAGTCAAAAAAATTTCCTCTTTATTTTCATCTTCCTTTTTAATTATGATTTTTCTTTTATTTTTTAAATTCGGTGCACAACATTTCAACATATATATATATATTAAAATTTCAGTATAAAATGCTAATATTCTATTTCAATATAAAATGCTAATATTAATTTCAATATTAATATAGTAGAAAATGTTAATATTAATTTCTATATATATATATATATATATATATATTTATTAAATTCGCTGCACAACATTTCAATATATATAGTTTTCTAGGACATGAAGAAAATAGGCACCAAAAAAAAACACACAAAATTAATAGTGAACCACAATGAAGCACAATGCTAAGAACTCAACAACCACTTTCTAAATCAGTTCTAATCAAACCTTCTTATGAATTTTTAGGAGATACAAACACCCTCAACAACATGTGCATTCTCTCACACACAAACACATTGATAAACGCCTCCAAACCAAAAAAACTACCCAAAGCATTAATCAACAGAGATGTTACACTACTACACATACAACTTCTGATAAACCATGATTTCAACCTGAAAAAAATTATCCTGTATTCTACTCCCTTTTCGATTTGGCGAGGGCCTTCTTTCTCTGCCCAAGCATGTAACCATACATATGAGGGCTGCCTGCAATAGATCATACCATTCAATTGATTAGCAGTGAGCAAACAAAAATGAACGAACTAGTATTTTACGAGCGGATGAGAAGAATGAAACATTAGCAGACACAGAGGATGCTGATTCATGCCTGGCACGTAAATTCCAAGTGCAAGGATTCCGGCGTAGAAGTAATCAAAAGAGAAGTTCAATTTGTTGGGCATCCTTATACAATACTTCTCAGATGCCTGCAAAAAACACACGGCTCATTCAGTGCTCGTATTTCAAGCAATTGTTCTCACCAAAATTACTTCTCGGTGCACACATATAAAAAGATTAGACAAAACACAGAGATAATGCTTGAGTAGAAGGTATCAGACATAACAAACTGACTTGAATGATTCACTACTTCAGCGCCGTTATCGGACATTGCAGGCTGAGCATCTATTTCTTGTATATCGCTCCACACCGAGAAGATGGGGAAGAAAGATCAGGTACAGGCTCAAAGAGGAAATGAATATGTTGGGAAAGCCGTTGCTGCTTCTCCTATACAGCACAACTTTCAGCATGCCTAAGAGGATTCTAGATCTAAACCGGTCTCGCTGATGGACTAAGATAAGTAGGTGAGCAGAACATATAATCATCAGGTCAATATAATTCTTCCTTCAGATTATGATGCCTATGCTATTTAAGCAGAGAAGTCAGCCTATCCAAATATTTTGTAGGAACAGACAAATGGTTTGCTAGACACTCGTGGGAAATATAGCACGTATAACTATTAGGAAATGCTGTTCATACTAATTTGGACTGTCCTTGGTCAATCCTCCAATAGAATGAGCCAAAGCTAGGGAAAAAGAAATAGGTCGAGTAAAATTACAAAACCCCGTAGCTGTATGACAATTGGTGGGTTCATGGGTGTGTAATGTGTATGCGTGTATATATGGCCGAATGAGCTTCTTGAGCAATTTTAAGCAATCACAATGACTGGCACATTCGAGAGTCATTATAGAGTTTTCATAATAAGAAAACTTCTGGGGTTCAGAAAAATAATATATATGCTGAGGGAGAAGTTTATACAGAAAATGAATGTATGTCAACAATCTCATAATTATCACTAATATGATTTCTCATGCATTTGACAATTACTGCATTTTGCAATTTTAAGGTATTTTTTCTAGACAACCAAAAAAAGCCATCCTTAAACATAAGCAGGACAAATGTATATGGGAATTGTGTTGTGTCATGCAGATTATTACTTAACCAAAAATATAGTTCTAACATAAAAGAAAAATTAGTAAAGGTACTCTCAGATTTATGCGTCATTAAATTTGTTACCTTAATGTACGGCAGAGCAGTATATATTAGACCAACTTCACTTGTAATGCCAGTTGGATACAACAACAAAAAGGTGCTATACCTGCACCGCATAATTTTGAAATTAATAAAAAGAATAAACAGAATTACTTCCATTGTGATGGCTAAAATACATGGCCAATACCTGAGCCACAACAGCCAAGAAGGTGCAGAACCAAGCGCCTCCTTTGTGCCAAAGAAAGAATACCGAATAATCTAAAAATGCCAGGAAGAAAATTTTAATGGTTATCAGATTAGAACTAACAGTGGGGTCTTTTCCTATAACGGGAGCAAAATTTCAGATGAAAACAACCATGAAAAGGTGGCATGAATAAACAAAATATTAACTATCCTGATAGAATTAAAGATTTTCCGGTGCCTTGATTTTGAATTATATACTACTTGATAAATAAAAATGCCAATGTATTGGATATAATATTGAAGTGTTAATATTAAACAGAAATTGTTACTACTTCAACCTTTTAGTTTTGATGTGTTTTAGATTAAATCAAGTGTAACTGAGTAAATCTTTTGGCTTTTTCATATTCATAAATGTCATTGTGGTAAAATTCATGCTAACTGCTTCCAGAAACCTTGGAATCTAAAGAAACGGAAAATAGGCACACTAAGTTTGAAAGAACAACAGTTAAGACTTTATCCATACTATATTGAAAGTAAAGCCATCCTCCTACTTTTGGACAGTCATGTGACCGATATCTCATTGTTTCCTACGACATCCCATGCCTCTTCTTTGTCTAGCATGCCACTTACTTCACGATCAGAAGATAAAAGGCCATTACCAAGTGCTGAAACTAACCTTCAACATCATTTTATACAAAGTGCCTACTCCCATAATGAGCAGCGTTTCTTATGCTTACTTGTCAGAACTTTTAATGATACAACAAGCAATGGAATCCTTCGGGATAAGAGAGATGAAAGGTTGACTTAATACCTTAAGTATATTGAGGTTTTGCTATCCCCAATTACTTCCATTTCCTTCTTTTGCTCCCATGTTTCTCTCTTGCCCTTTCCTCTTAAAATATCTTATATAATTATGGACTTCTTCGCTTTCTAGTTAATGGAATATTCTAAGGTCCCAAAATTTTGTATTGGACTTTCATGTTTCATTAATTCATTCCCAAGAGTGCAACGATTTCAAAGAGTTCAGAAACTCCATTATCTCCATGGATTTTAAACAGCTATTACATTGTAGATGTCAATAAGGTGTGTGGTGGTTGTGCGGATTTGAGAAGGTGGAATTTTCAGATGTAGAAGACTGCAACTGGTAGTGATGGCGTTCCAGTAGAAATGTTTATACGAAAAAAATGGGAGTTTGGGTGGGTCAGAGGTAGAGGAGGTGGTGCCATAGTGATGGAGACAACCTGGTGGCAAAGGTGGTAGTGGTGGTGACAGCGACTGGTGATGGAGGCATATGACAGTGGAGGTGGCAACTGTAGGACGGTTAGGATGGTAATCGTAGCCCTTATAGTAGTGGCATGCAAAAGTTGTGACACCGATATAGGCAATGATAAAATGCAGTTTAGGTGGAGGCAATCACACCCATGCTTTTAGAAGAGTTGATTTAGAGATCAAATCCATAAGTTAGCTAAAAGATCCTAACACTGAAAATGCAATATCAAGAAAAATGTGGGGATTCTTCTGAAAGGAAACCCACTGAAATTTCAATACATTTGCTGCCTGAATAATTATATGGATTGATAGAGCAACAGAAAATGACGGCTTTTAAAGACATCAGTAGGAGTGTGAACTGTAAAGATCAATATGGATACTTTTCATTTTATTTACTATTTTTTTTTTCCTAATTGGTACTCACACACACTTGTCTCTTATGAGACTTGAACCCCTGACCTCCCTTTGGGAGGTAAGACGCGGATACCGCTAGGCCACTGGCCCATTAATCATTTTATTTACTATTATTATTATTAATATTATTTCTGTGTAATCAAAGGTACATGTGAGTATGTTACTAAATAAACCACCCCACCCCCGCCGGGGGTTTACATTAAAGACACCTAGATACAACTTAGGCACATTTTGGACAAAGACACCCCCCAGGTTTGATAAACTGGACAAAGACACCCCAAACATGATTTTTGTACATATTTGGCCATTGACCAATGTGAATAATCAAATTACCTATATACCCTCATTTTAATTGACCAAAATGACCCTCCGAAACCTCGCCCACAGTTCCCCCGCCGCCGCTTCCTCTTACCACCACAACTCTCTGTGATATATATCCACGTCTGTAAATACACACATATACACGTACACATACACATATTACACACAGAATTGCCGGCAATACATATACCCAATATTACACACATATATTGGGTATTCATTTCCTTTGTAACTGATGAAACTACCTGGTCAAACTCGCTACTTATGGCTTTCAATATCGATTCTGTAGAAAAAGAGATATTTGGTTTCAATAAGACCAAATTTTAGGGGATATGATAGGCGTGTAAATATAGATAGTCAATGACTAAGAATTAGGAAATTTTGTTAGTATACAGCCTGTAGTTACAGCCTGTAGTCACAGCCTATAGTTTCCTTTTTTAGCTCCTTGTATTTCCTATTTAACTAAAGCATTGTAAACTATTCTTTGTACGGCAATATACAGATTCTTTTCACTCTTGAAATCGCCTATTTAGTATGTCTGATGACGTACCTGAGTCCAAGACCAAGACCTCTGAGTCCCAAGTCCAAAACTCTGAGACACACTCGGTCCAGATTACCACAATTCGGCTGAACGGTGAAAACTTCCTTCGCTGGTCCCAATCCGTGCGGATGTACATCCGAGACAAAGGCAAAATCGGCTACCTGACGGGAGAAAAGAAGGAACCGAAACCGGAAGATTCATCCAACTCGACCTCGGATGCAGAGAATTCGATGGTAATGACCTGGTTGGTGCATTCTATGGAGGAGGACATCAGTTCTAATTATATGTGTTACCACACAGCAAAAGAACTCTGGGACAATATCAACCAGATGTATTCAAACTTGGGAAATTAATCTCAAGTCTATGAACTAACGCTGAAACTCGGAGAGATCCGTCAAGGAGATAACAGTGTTACAAAATATTTCAACTCTCTAAAACGTTTGTGGCAGGACCTTAATTTGTTCAGCGATTATGAATGGAAATCGCCTGAAGATTGCAACCATTACAAAAAGAAGGTGGAAGACAACCGCATCTTCAAGTTTCTCATTGGACTCAATGTCGAGTTTGATGAAGTGAGAGGCAGAATAATTAGACGACAGCCCCTGCCTTTAATCAGTGAAGTCTTCTCCAAGGTTCGAAGAGAGGAAAGTCGTAGGCTGGTCACGCTTGGAAAAAAGTTATCAAATGGTGCTGTTAAGGCCTCTGCCCTGGTCGCATCTGAAGTGAATATTGGCAAGAAACATGATGAAAAGCCCCCGCCTTTGGTGTGACCACTGCAACTAGCCTCGCCATACCCGTGAAACCTGCTAGAAAATTCATGGTAAACCAGCGAATTGGAAAAGTAAGCAGGAAGGCAGATTCAACCAGGAAGGCAAATTCAACCGAGCCCCATCAGCTCATGAAGCCAAGGCACTTCCCTTCAGCAAAGAACAGATGTATCATCTTCTAAAATGCTGAAATTTAATTCCTCATCTGGTAATCCTAATGCTTCTCTTGCTCAAACAGGTAACCACCCAAAAACCTTATCTTGACGTTCAAATTCCATTGTTACCCCATGGATCATTGATTCAGGGGCTTCTGACCATATGACAAGTTTTTCTCATTTATTTCAAACTTATTCACCCTGTTCTGGCTTTGAAAAAATCAGAATAGCTGATGGTTCTTATTCTCCTATTGCAGGCAAAGGTTTGGTCAAACTTTCAAAAATTATCGATCTTAAGTCTGTCCTTCATGTCCCTAAGCTTGCTTGTAACCTTTTATCAGTTAGTAAATTGTCCAAAGACTCTAATTGTCATGTTATCTTTTTTGAATCCTATTGTGAATTTCAGGACCAGAACTTGGGGAAGACGATTGGCAGTACTAAGATGATAGATGGTCTCTACTATTTTGAAGATGATATTTCAAGTAATAAAAAGGCTCAAGGTCTAAGTAGTTTTCGTTCTATCCCTGGTAGAGAACAAATAATGCTATGGCATTTTAGATTAGGGCATCCTAGTTTCCCTTATCTTAAAAAATTATTTCCTACTTTGTTTAAAGGATTGGATTGTTCATCTTTTTATTGTGAGAATTGTTTTTTTATCAAAAAGTCATCATACTATGTAATTTCCCAAACCTTACCAAACATCAAAACCATTTTATTTAATCTATAGTGATGTTTGGGGCCCTTCTAGGATCACAACTCTTTCTGGAAAAAAATGGTTTGTGACTTTTATTGATGATCATACACGTTGGTGTTGGGTGTATTTAATGAATGAAAAATCTGAGGTTGAAAAATTATTCAAGGATTTTTATATGACGATTGAAAATCAATTCCAAACAAAAATTGGCATTCTTCATACTGACAACGGCACCAAATACTTTAATGAAGTTTTAGGAAGTTTTTTAACAGAAAAATGAATTTTTCACCAATCCACTTGTGTTGACACGCCCCAACAAAACGGAATTACTGAAAGAAAAAATAAACATTTACTTAAAGTTTCTCGTGCCATCATGTTTTCAATGAATGTTCCTAAGTATTTGTGGGTGAAGCCATTTTAACAGCATCATATTTGAATAACAGGATGCCTACTCGTGTTCTTAACTATTTTACACCCCTTGAAAGCCTTAAAAAATCTTTTCCCGAAACTCAGATTTATTCTAACCTGCCTTTGAAAGTATTTGGGTGCACTGTCTTTGTCCATTTACCTAGTAGACTTCTGTCTAAATTGGATCCTCGGGCTGAAAAATGTGTATTTGTTGGGTATGCCCCGAATAAAAAGGGGAACAAATGCTTCAATCCGAAAACAAAAAAAAAATGTTTATCAGTATAGATGTCTTTTTTCTAGAAAATCATCCTTATTTTCAGAAAACTTTTCTTCAGGGGGAGAAAGAGAATGAAGAAAACTTTTGGGAAATTTCTACTAATATTCCCTTACCTAAAACTATTGTCTCACACTCTATTACTCCGAACACTGATCTTTTTAAACAGAGAAATGATGTTCTAGAATCAAGAAACCCAGGGCCTCCTAGTCCTAATCTGCCGAGCCTTATTGTATCTCCAACAGGGGGAGAAATCCTACCAACGGTTCCAAAAAAACCGAATCCTGAGCTTCTAGTTTGTAACAGGAAAAAGACTCATCAAAAGAGTAGAAAGCCTACTATTGTACCTGAGCAAGGCCAATCAGAGGTCCCGAGCAATGACTCCCTGAACACTCAAGGTACTCTAAATCCTAACTTGTCTACAGTTGTCCCTACTATTTCTGATCGTACAGAGTCACCTAGCCAAGTTCCTGTAGACCTTGATATCCCTATAGCTGTTAGAAAAGGAACCCGAACCTGTACCCAGCATCCCATTGCCAAATACTTGTCTTATGATAAACTTTCCCATAAACATAGGGCCTTTACTTCATATATTTCTCACTTGTTTGTTCCAAGAAACATTCGAGAAGCACTAGATGATCCGAATTGGAAATTAGCAGTGTTAGAGGAGATGAATGATCTTAAAAGGAGTGGAACGTGGGAGATAGTTGACTTGCCCAAAGGACAGAAAATTGTTGGGTGTAAATGGGTTTTCACTATTAAGTGTAAAGCTGAAGGTAGTGTGGAAAGGTACAAGGCAAGACTTGTGGCGAAAGGTTTTACGCAAACGTACCGCATTGATTACCAAGAGACGTTTGCTCCTGTAGCAAAAATAAATTCTATCCGAGTCTTATTGTCATTAACAGTCAATTCGTTGGCAATCAATTCTAACTGGCCATTACATCAGTTGGACATAAAAAAATACCTTTTTAAATGGAGACTTCAAAGAAGAAGTGTTTATGAGCTTGCCACCTGGGTTCGAAGGAAAAAAGGGTCAGAGCAAAGTTTGTAAACTCAAAAAATCCCTGTACGGTACGGTTTGAAACAGCCTCCAAGAGCGTGGTTTGAAAGATTTGGAAAGGTTGTGAAGAGTCATGGGTATCATCAGAGTCAGGCAAACCATACCATGTTCTACAAACATGGTGAGGAAGGGAAAATTGACGTTTTAATTGTGTATGTGGATGATATAATTTTAACAGGTGATGACATTGAAGAGTTGACCAAACTGAAGAAGAAACTTGCTAAAGATTTTGAAGTCAAAGATCTGGGAGCATTAAAATACTTCCTTGGAATGGAATTTGCCAGGTCAAGAGAAGGAATTTTCATGAATCAACGAAAATATGTACTTGATTTACTTAATGAGACAGGACTACTTGGGTGTAAAGCTGCTAACACTCCAATTGAAGTCAACCTGAAGTTAGAAGCTGCCAAACCTGAGAATATGGTTGATTGTGAAAGATATCAGAGATTGGTGGGAAGACTAATTTACTTATCTCACACACGCCCAGATATAGCATTTGCAGTCAGTTTGGTGAGTCAGTTCATACACTCTCCTGGACAGGAACACTTTGAAGCAGCGTACAGGATTCTGAGGTACTTAAAGGGCTCACCAGGTAAAGGACTTATGTTCAAGAAACAAGGTCATTTGCAAGTGGAGGTGTACACAGATGCTGATTGGGCAGGCAGTACAATTGATAGACGATCTACCTCAGGATATTGCACCTTCGTTGGAGGAAACTTAGTCACGTGGCGAAGTAAGAAACAAAATGTAGTAGCGACGAGTAGTGCAGAAGCCGAGTTCAGAGCACTCGCCCATGGGATTTGAGAAGCTATGTGGTTAAAAAGACTCCTTGAAGATTTGAAGGTTACTGTTTCTCCTCCAATGAGAGTCTACTGTGACAACAACGCTGCCATTTCAATTACTCATAATCCATTCCTCCACGACAGAACCAAACATGTGGAAGTTGACAAACACTTTATCAAGGAAAAGCTTGACTGTGGTATGATTTGCATTCCTTATGTCTCTACTACTGAACAAGCAGCAGACATCCTTACCAAAGGACTACACAAGAGACAGTTTGAAGTTTTAAGAAGCAAGCTAGTTATAGAAGACATCTACAAGCCGACTTGAGGGGGAGTGTTGAAAAAGAGATATTCGGTTTCAATAAGACCAGATTTTAGGGGATATGATAGGCATGTAAATATAGATAGTCAATGACTAAGAATTAGGAAATTTTGTTAGTATACAGCCTGTAGTTACAGCCTGTAGTTTCCTTTTTTAGCTCCTTGTATTTCCTATTTAACTAAAGCATTGTGAACCATTCTTTGTACAGAAATATACAAATTCTTTTGAATCTTGAAATCACCTAGTGATTCAGAAGGTAAGTGGTTGTATCTCTACAACCTTTGGGGCGATGGAAAGAGCTGACCCGTTCGGATTGGCAAAACCTACCCGATAGATAGATATGTACATATATATAAATATATAGGAGAGATCGCAAACAATGCCATCGGCATGATTGGACGGCGAGCTCGGAACGGCAGCGGCGGTGAAAAGGACGGTGACGGCCGATACGCATGGAAGAACATTCACGAGTACGTCGGCGAATGGCAAACCAGATTTATCAACGCAGAGGAGCGCTGATTTGGGTGAACGGGAACGCTGATTTGGGTACTATCTGGGTAGGTATGGTACTAATTTGGTCTTGCAGCAAGGGTTTGGGTTTGTAATTGGTGATGGTTTGTGTTTGGTGGCTGAGCAGTGGTGGGTATGTCTGAGACTCGTTTGGTTTCGCCGCTGCTATGATCTGAGGTCGCTGCTGCTATGCATGAGGTGTGACTGGCGACAAGGTCACGGAAAATCAATATTCGCCGTGGGTCGGATCAAGATCGGGCTCCATCGACAACGTTGCTAAAGATGACAACAAGGTCGCCGAAAATCGATCTTTGTCGCAGGTCTTGTTATGTGAGGGTGGGTCTAATTGGGGGAATTTGGTGAGGATTGAGAAGTTTAGTATGGGGTTGATGATGAGGGCGATTGAGGAGGAGTTGGGAGTGACATGGTGTTGGATCTCCCGGTGGCAGTGGTGGTTGCAACAATGAAGCGGTATAGGGTTTGAGATGTGGGTGAAGGAGAAGAGGTAGAGAGAGAATGAAGAGGAAGAAGAAGAGGGAGAAGAGAGGGTTATTTTGGTTAATTAAAATGAGGGTATATAGGTAATTTGATTATTCACATCGGTCAATTCAGTGGCCAAAGGGCAAACATGTACAAAAATCATGTTTGAGGATGTCTTTGTCCAGTTTATCAAACCTAAGGGGTGTCTTTATCCAAAATGTGCCTAAGTTGTATCTAGGTAACTATAATGCAAACCTTGGGGGGGGGGGGGGGCAAATTACCCATACCCATAAAAAATGAATCTTCCTTGATAAAATTTTGGAAGATGCATATATTGAAGTATATTTGCGAGTTCACATCTCACATGATAATTTCTGCGACCGATAAGAAATTCATGGTTTATAAGTAGTTAAACTTAATAAATTGCCATTAACAACGATAGAGTGAAACAGGAAAAAAAGCCAACCATCAAAATTAACCCACAAAAAGAAGAAATACAAGTACTTCTCTGTGATTTACATTACTATGACAGATTCTTTGACTATAAGTGTAGTAACACTGAACAGTCTATAAGGCCCAACAGAAGTAAAAATAGTTTATCCAAGCCAGTGCAAACTAGAAAAATCCTCTGAGCACTAAATGAGTTGGAAATAACTAATTGCACCAAGCGCAAACTAGTAAAATCCTCTAAAGCACTAACTGAGTTGGAAATAATTAATTGCACCATAGAAAATTTAAAAAGCATAACTGAAGAAGGGAACCAATATCTTTAGTATAGATATAATTTGTTTGCGAGTTAAATGACAATCATGTAAGACTCACCTCAGTGATAGACCAGCTGATGACCAAAGAGCTAACAAGTATATGAGTCCGAGTCTGTCGTCAGCAAGCTTCATTATGTTAGTAAAAAAATGTTTTACAATTGAATGTAAAATAAAAGAATTTATCTGACCTCAGGAAAACTCCATAAGATGCCCCAAGTTACATACAATCTTGAGCTTATCTGTGGCAGTGTTGCGGAGACTGGAGATCTCACCAAACCTTTTAATGAAACAAAAAGAAGCAACAGAACAAAGAAGTGAATGCTTATTTGGTTTGACATACAAAATTTCTCCTAATTGAAACCATAGCTCATCACAAGAAAGATTGCTCACCTACTAGACCGTGAAGAATCTGTTCTCCATTATTGAGTTTGATCAAAAGACAATAAGAGATTAGTTAAGTTAAGATACACGAAATCAAATAAAATGAAAGTGAAGTGCAAGGAATTAAGGCTTTACTATCAAGATATACTCTAAGCAATACAAATTAAAAGAAAAAAATCAAATAAATGTAATAATTTCTGATTCTATGGTTTGATTTTTGAAAGGATAATACATACATGTGTGTGCGACACAGTCTACCCTGACCTAACAAAATATTACTCCCCCAAAAGAGTAGTATATTAGTTCCTTCATTTCATTTTCCTTTTTTTTCTGGAATTATTATGTGAAATCCACACATAATATTCTCAATCCATACACGTTGTTAAACATTAAACAAAAAATTACTGAATTTAACTAAATTTATTAAGTAATTGAACCTAAATCCATTCATTTCAAATCCATAAATCCAAATGAAACCCAAAAGTGCAAATTGACCTTCAGTATCCACAAGCATCTGTATTAGTTCAATGCTCCCTTACAGCCTTCCATAAAAAAGTTTCAAAAAAAAAAAAAAAAATTTCTCGGAAGAATCATTTTCCCTAGAAACAAACGGAGCTTCAAAAGTACAGAAATATTTCAAAAAGTAAGTGCGGATGTAGGGTACCTCCAAAACGGCGGCGGATTGGGCATAAAGTAGTGGCTTTTCTACGGCATCATAGACATGTTCATGGCCAGATTCTTTCAGAGTTTTCAAAGCAAGATACAGCACCTGAAACCTGAATTCATATAAATAAATAAATAATAAAAAAAAAATACCCAATCAGACCCACAAATTTAAACACAGATCAGATCACTATAATAATATATACATATATAGAGAGAGAGGAGGAGGAATGGGATTGTGAGATTATATGGGACTTGCCATCCAACAAAGACGGTCCAATTGTAAATGGTGAGGTATATGCGCCTCAGGAGAGATAAGAATCCCGCCATTGGCGATCTGAGAAAGGTGGGTTGTTCTGCAATGTAAAGGGAGAGAGAGGAGGGTTTTAGAGAGAGAGAGAACCCAATTGGGGTGTAATTTATATAAGCAATAAATGGATTTAGGTGAGCAGATCAACAAACAACCACTAACGAACTACTACTACTTGTGTGTTAATCTCTCTCTCTTTCCGTCTCAACTCCCAACAGATTTGATAACCAGAGTGAATAGGCAAGGTTGTGAAATGTGTGGGCCCTGTGGGCATGGGCACCTGATACGGCGCCGTTTGCGAAACGGTCCGGGCAGTAGTAGATCCGGATCCTGATTTGGCGGGTACAGGCCCGTTGGGCTTTGACTGGTCACTGTCCAGGCCTTAAAGTCTCAAACCCAGGCCCAGAATGTGGGCCTTCAGAAACTGGCTGGAGGGTCGAGTTTGTGGGCCAGGCTTAGGGCCTAAGTTGGTCTTTTTTACTGAGTAAATTTCTTGTCTTTTTGTCTTTCGAGTATTTCAAGTTTTATTCAGTCCCAACTCCTAACTTCAATTTGTTTGTGAAATGGATTTCATCTCTCGATTTCTAACTCTAGACTTTTTACTTTGTCGATTTCAACTCTTAATTTTTTATTTTAGAAGATAAGTTTAATTTTTTTTTTTTTAAATAATATTTATAGATATTATATATATATATATATATATTGGTCAACTATGATGGTATCGGCCATTCACACATCCCCTTTTAAGTAATTATTTGTGCCAAGAAGAGTTGAATGATTTAAGGCAACGGAGCCAAATAATTTACTCGTTTGAGCCAACTCCTTAGAATTATTTTACCTTGTATAATTTTATTAACTAGGAGTATTTAATTAGTGTGTAACTTATATTACCAAGTTATATTTGTATATATTACTCATACTAGTGCTAACAATACTTTATTAGTATTATTACTACTAAGTTATGAAAATATTAATTTTGTATGATATATATATATATATATATATATATACACACTAGATATTACATAAATATATTTCCTTGAAGTTACCACTAGATATTATATAAATATCTATATAAATTGAAGTTACTACTATATATATATATATTTCCTTGCATAAAATGTTTCACTTTAAAAAGAGTCTGGCATCCCTTCGGGAAAAAAGCAGCATTCGTGATAACGAATTTGTCCTACAAAGGACCTCATTCAACACATCAGTAGTATAAAATGGATAAAAAAAAATCAAATGATAAGTGGATTTTACAGAAAAAAAATTAAATGGTGAATTTGTTCTAGCTTTTGCCTAATAAATTAACAGAAAATATTTTTTAAATATGATCATGAAAAAAAAAGGTGATCAATAGATGATAATTTTAATGTTATTTTATTTTTTCGACCATTTTATAATGTGTCTACATTTTTTTACTAGAATAATATTATCCTAATAATAATATTAGACCGTCTTCCAAATAGTGCCACTAAACATGTCCAATAATGTCGTGATGTTTCCTAGTTGGTTGACTAGATTGAAATTTTTAAGGTCATCAATTTAATCAGTCGGCTCATGTTTTATTATTATTATTATATTATTATTATTATTATTTTGTATTTTCGAACCTTCTTCTTTGCTTGATACGTTATGAAGAAATTAAAAATGGTTAAATAAAGAGTTGAAAGTTAACGAAAAAGAAAAAACAAAATAAAAATAGAGGCACTATGAAAATGATTTTTGTCCTCTCTACAATTTATTCATTTTTATTATCTTGACCATTTTTTTATCTTGACAAATTAAGTGAGTTATGATTCGAACACGGCTAAACCCGCAGACAGAATTGGGCTGCTGGGCACTCTAACTAAGGAAGGAATAAAATTTTCATGCAGATGATGGAAATTAACCTCTTTTGATATATATATATTTTTTTCTTAAAAAATATGGAATTTCGGACTTTTATGAATGACCAAACAAAGGAAATGTTAGATTCTCTTCCCAACCCCTTCTACTCCTTCATGATTGATATATATATATATATATATATATATAATATTTTGAGAGGTCTCCTTCATGATATAGACACACACATAAAACCAAATTTGTTTCTAGTTTGAATGATTCTGTAGTTTCCAAAAAGGACAATAACATGATTACAGAAATTGAAATATATAATTGTAAGCAATAAGATGATGACTGACTGACTATTCTTGAAGAATATTAGCTTATTTGTGCATAATGTTTATCTTTGGCCTTTGCAAAAAAATAAAATAAAAAATATCTTTGGCCTTTGTATTGTGATTAATACGTAGTAGCTTTTAATATAAATTCTTTGGGGCGTTGCAATTAAAATCGCTCATGTACTCTTCTATATATTGGCACACCAATGTGAATTTACATTTCTCTCCTTTGCTCTAAAATTTTACTTAGAAGGTTAACCATAGAAGTCTTGTTTTTCAAACTCAATTTAGATTTTGGTTGTGTTACAAATCTTCAATTTAAAATCGGGGCAAGTAATATAATAAATAAATTTAAATTGGCTTAAATTCAAAAACAAAAAAAAAAAAAGTCAAGATTTTCATTAATTTTAAAAAGATTAAATGTACCCAATTTGACTTGGTATGAAAAAACTATTTTTGATCAATTCGGTCCAAACCATGAGTTTGGCGTTGAGTTCGATCAAGGAACATTTGCTATTAAATTGTTTTTGTTATCTATACACTCAATTTTGATCGATTCTACGCAGATTCTCAAATAAAAGTAAATTAAAATTCGAAATTGATTATAAATGAGAGGTCCAGAGAAACGCATGAGACGGTCCTCCCCATAACATGTCTCCAATTGTTACGCAACTTATATTTTAATTCAATATAATTGTTGAATTTCATTCAACGACTTAAATTGAAAATAATTATATTATTTGTTTTTGATTTTTAAAATTTCAAAATTACTCCATTTGAGTGTTTTAAATAAAATGAAATAACTACTCAATTTGAGTGTTTTAAATAAAACAAAACACCTTATAATAATATTATTTTTTTTTTGTGTTTTCTTCTGTATATATAAAGGAACGTTTATAAATAAAAAAATGTCATTAATCAATCAGTTAAGATAGCCTATTCAAATTACGTTTCATCAAAATTTTTATAAAATCTTTAAAATGACATACTATTGTATTTTTCCATAGTTTAGAACTTTGTTGCTTAATTGTAGAGTAACAAGTTGTAGTCAGATTTATTTATTTAGGAAGACTATTCTCTCTCCAAAATATTAACTTTTATGGAAGGACTCTAAAAGAGCTAGGAAAAAAAAAAAAAATGTAAGTTTTATGTCAAAAATTTTGTAAAAAATCAAAAACAAATAATACAGTTATTTTCAATTTTAGTCATTGCATGAAATCCAACTATTGAAATAGAAGTCGCGTATATTATTTCCTACACACCAGAGATCATCAATTGAATGAAATTCTATATATATTGACTTTCGAAATAAATGAAACAATTTATCTCGAGATTAAATACTTTAAATTAAAACAAATAAATAACAAATAAAAAATCATTACCACTCTTACAAATTTTTTTTACAATATTGGAGTCCTCAATCTCGCGACTTCCTCGATGAATGTGATGGTGTGATTCACATGATAAATAGTTCAACGATTGTGGGACCCAACTACAGTAGCCCAATATTGTAGAAATTCCCATCCTTTCTTTTCTACGGTGCCAAGCAGTGGATCCAAACTCAATCGACAAGTAAATGTAACTGATCACGTCAAGTGCCAAGACTGGGTGTCGGTGCTTTGGAGAAAGCATACATTGAAAGCTCACCAAACCAAGGCTTAAAGCTAAAGCTGTCCATGAAACCCATAAAAGAGGGTATATATAAAGTATACGAGAATATAGATATATATATATGTATATTAAGATAGAGAGAGCAAGGGGTTAGATTCAGGACACGTACAAACTCAAAAAAACACAGAACCAACCGATCCATTGAATCGTATTCGCTTCGGGTCTAATGAAAACGACACCTACCATTTGCTCCCAAACTATGACATCAACTCAGTGCCAGCTGTTATTTGTACGAATACTATATATGTTTTGAAAGGACCCATGTGAGAATAATAATCATGGCCCACCCTTTTTAACTCTCTCTCTCTCTTTCTCTCTCCTCCATGAAACATTCTACTTCTTCTTCTTCTTCTTCTTATCAAAGACTAAGACATTCTTGATCTGCTCAAAGGCTTAGCCAATAAGCCTAATAACCGCCACCACAACACACAGTCACACACAACTATGAAGCTGTATTACCAGAGTCATAGAGGAAGAAGTGCTCTTGCTGGTCTCCTGGTTTTGCTCCTCCCCATCTTCTTCCCTACCCTTTTCTCTCCTTTTAGCCACGCCTCTCCTTCCCTCTTCTCGGTATGTCCATTACACACACACACATATATATAATATGTGCTATTCTGTTTCTGGGTTTTTATTTTTGATTGTTTTCTTTTATATACTTTGAGTGATGTTTGTTTTCTAATTGGATGTTATTGGAAAATTTCTGTTTTTATTTTTTATTTTTTGCATTGGAGGGCCATTTTATGTTGTATGTCCATTACACACACAATGTGTGCTGCTCTGTTTCTGTGTGTTTTATTTTTCACTTTTTTTTATTATTATTATTTTTTTTAATGTTTTCTAATTGGAAATTTTATAGATTTTCATTTATTTATTTATTTATTTCTTTGAAGGGTTGTTTTATGTTGATTGATATGTAATTTAGGATGAATGAATATAAGAGATGGATTTTATGGGCTTGTTGGTCTGTTTCTGTTCTTGATAAGGTTGTTGAAGTAATTATGATTTTGTGTAATCTATATAGGTCTGGTCTGACTGTGAATTAAAAGTATATTTAAGGCTGTAATTTGAAACTTCAAAGATCATTGAAACTGGCAAGTGAGAACAATTTGGGTTAATTTTGTGTCAAAAAAAATAAAAATAAAAATAAAAAATTGTGTCAATTCTTAGATAATATGGCAAGTGGTATTTTTCTATGGATTATATCTGATTAGCTTACACTTTGTAAGAGTCACAAAAATCCAAAAATAAAAAAATGAAATTCCAGAAAATTTCCAATATTTTCATTGGAGCTTCACTCTATGGGATGCACAAAAAGAAAAAAAAGAGAGGTCAAGTTCAAGTTTATAGACAGCAATTGAATTTCAAGCTGTATATATATGTGTAGCGTATAGCCACTATTTTAACCTTTCCAAGTTTTAGCCAATTTACTTTGAACATCAGGGGGTTTGGGAGCACTGAATTGGTGCACTGATTTGGTGCTCCCAAACGCAACAATAGAGTTCTTGAGAATTGAAATAAAAGAAAGGGCCAAAAGAACAAAGATATTAAATCGAATGCACCATCTCATAAAGTGTGTTAATTTGATCAGACCTTTGTGAATTCTCTCTTTTTAATAGCTATTCTACTGTAATTGTCTTATCGCCATTACGCGAGGAATGGATTAAGGGACAGCCTTCTTTTCTATCTTAAAGCAGTCTTTCCCCCTCCTTTTTTTGAGATCCGCTTTCACTATATGGGCAGTTCCAATCTACTTTAGTATACCATATTGATGTAGAAAAAGTTGATACTTTTGATGAACTGGAAGCATCTCTTTTCCATTTATAGTTGCCCAATTCGTATCTTTGTTTCGTGTGTTCCCTTTGATATGTTCAAGCACATCAACAACATGTTTGTAGTTATGCTACTCTAAATATGGCACCATGCATACCAAAGTAACCTTTTACTGTACTCATTTCACTATCCAATTGGCACATGTAGGAATGGAATGCACCAAAGCCTAGGCACTCGCGGCTTCTTAAAAGTGCTTTACAACGCGAGACAGTGAGTTGATTGAGCTGCTTCCCTCTTTGTTAATAAATAATATTTATATTTATGTAACGATTCTCTTTTTATTTCCTGAGTAGTAAAAACTTCTGAATTCATTTGTATTTTTCTTGTTAGTCAAATGGACTGCAATCGGATCTCTGGATTCCTTTGGCCAACCAAGGATGGAAACCCTATGCCGAATCTACTAGTGCCACCAGTGAGTAACAAGAAATAGGGTTAACATAGAAGATCTGTTTCCTGTCAATTTTAAGTTTACATTGATGCTTGAATTTTTGGAGCCATTGCGGTTTCATAATCAATCATAATGTTTAGCTCTGATGGATTTGTCCTGTATTTCAGCACTACCCAGCGAATCAAATGGATATATCCAGGTGTTCCTTGATGGAGGGTTGAACCAACAGAGAATGGGGGTCAGTATTTAAATATTACCAGTTAGCAGTTTGTATAAATTCTTATAGATAAATAGTAATGTCTTTTAAAAAATTTAATGGTACCTTCTTGATTTACCTAAAAAAGTTGTATGCATCTTGATTTAATTCACAGCCACTTATCTGCTTTAAAGATATATTCTTAGTTACTCATATTTGAACTTTTCTTTTTATCTTTTTAATAGATTTGTGATGCAGTTGCTGTTGCTAAAATTCTAAATGCAACTCTTGTGATCCCACATTTTGAAGTGAATCCTGTCTGGCAAGATTCCAGGTGCTTTTGCATACTTCTTTTCCAAATCTCGTGTTTTGAAGAAGTTATTACTGCAGCATTGATTTTTTATTATTTTTTGGGCCTTTTCTTCCTGCAGTTCATTCATGGAGATTTATGACGTGGATCACTTTATTAATGTATTGAAGGATGATATCTCTATAGTTAAAGGGCTTCCCGATGAATTCTCTTGGAGCACAAGGGAGTATTATGCTACAGCCATTCGAGATAACAGAATCAAATCTGCACCTGTTCATGCCTCGGCTAACTGGTATCTAGAGAATGTGATGCCTGTCCTACAGAGGTTCGAATATATCTGAACCTTTTGTTTCTTACGATTGAATTTTTCTACAAACCTTTAGATCCAATTCCTTTGCTTGCATTATCTACCCTAAAACGAGATTGTTTTTGACTAATAGAAGAACTAGACGGCTGGATCATTATCTAAACCACATATTCTTTTGCAAACTAAGCTAGATGCATTATTATGCTGAGAAAATTAAGAGTGATAACTAAGGCATTTCTAAGAATCTAAAATTGAGCTCACTTGATGCATAAAGAGAGAATTGACGATTCCAACCAAGAGTATGTTGGTGAAGATGGCTGAAATTTTAGAGGAAAGTGTCGGTAGAAGTTGCCAATCCATATAATCCAAAGCCATTTGGAAAATATTTATTTTTTGGGATATATTATCTTTAAGTGGACCATATTATGTTGGTGGGCAGGGACGCAGCTAATGAAGAGCTGCCCCAATCCATATAGTCCAAAGCCTCTTGGAAAATGCTTATTTTTTGGGATATATCATCTTTAAGTGGACCATATTATGTTGATGGGCAGGGACGTAGCCAATGAAGAGCTGCCCCTACTTAATTTCCTTTTCATTTTTTACTTTGGTATATAATTTTTTCATTAATTATAAAGTTGTGCCCCTCAAAACTTTAAATATCTCTTTTTATTCTTTGGAAAAATTATTATTTATTGACGGAAATTAATATTTGTACTCCACCTTTGTACTTATGCATTACACTCGTTTTACTATTTTTATAGAGACGCAAATTACCCTTCAAAAAGTATATCCAAAGATACAGTCGCACACTACCAGATAATTATGTAATTTTTTTTTTTTTTTAACAATGTTCAAGTAGATTGCGAAAGTATAAAGTAGAGTGCGAATATTACATCACTTTAAAAATAATTGCTATTCATTGGTTAATGCAATGTTTTAAATGAAATTATTAGTTGCAAAAGTTAATGTCTGCGTTTGGTTACTTAATGATAATTTTTAATCTTTGGCATGATTGTTGTATTTAGACATCCAGCCTAATATATGTTAAATCTCATGCCTGTTTCAGTTTATTGTCGTTTAGAACCCTGACCCAAATCCAATACTAACCCCTAAAATAATGAAAATTTTGTGTGTTTCTCAAATAAGCTACTAGTGAGGTGGTATAGACATCAGTTGCCCCTCAAACTAAATTTCTGGCTCCTTCGATGGTGGGGGTTACATCTCTGGGGAGCGTGCTACTTGTCTAATGGTGCCTCAGAATTATTTGTTGAATACAAGGTTAAGACACACGATGCTCCTTAGCTTTCTAGTAGATGGATGAATTCCTTATTCATTTTTGTGCCATGAATAGCCTTTAGGGAAACAGTATAGTCTTTCCTAGTTCTAAGATACTTAATTGATTAAAATGTTATTTGGTGGCGGATACCATGCTAATTATTGGTGATGCTCGGGACATTTTTCTTAACTTCTATTTGAAAATTTCAATGGTCATCATTAATTAATAAATGTGGAACATATATTATCTAAATGATGCAGTATGGAAGAACATAACAGAGTTGCAAATTTTTTTTCTGCTCAATAAATTTGTATTTTTACAAACTTCCAATATAAAACCTGCAGTCACATCATTTACATGGAATCCCAGTCATCTTCATGTTATCAGAGCAAGAGCACTGTAAATTTTTTACAAATATAGATAACCTGGAATTTAAGAGAACGCAGGAGGGTGCTTGAATGTAGAACTGAGGAGAAGAGTCAAAGATGTGTTTCACACGAAGATGCTCGATTCTCTGTACTAATGAGTCCTCGTACTTTCCAAGGATTCCTTGTCATGTTAAATCTGAATTTCAGTGCTGCACCAATTTATCAGTTTACTTTGGACGCCTTACAAAGACTTTGTTTCATAGTAGGTGTACAGTTCAGAAATTTCGGGATGACTTTTCCTGCTTTCAAAATATTCTTTTGGCATATAAGTGGAAGATCCTATTACCAAAAAGACAATAGTACAATGAAGCTCAATACAAGTTCCAACAGGAACACACATGCACAGCCTTTCACAACTTGAAAGGGTAGGTGCCAAACACTCACTGGTGACAACACACCCAAAACCAGGACAGCCCATTCCCAAGATCTGGCACAAGAGAAACAGATGAGCAAAATCCAAAGCATAGAACTTGGTACAGCCCAAGTCAACAAAACAACTCAAACTGACCCATTTTTTAAGGTCACATGCCCGAACAATAAGTGGTTTCATGTGGGGGTCAAGACCTACACAAGAAAAGGAACTCACTGGTAGAACGACGATCTGTGGGATCTCCTGTAGTAGAATGATGATCTGTGAGATCTCTTGCCCAATCCACATCACTATAAACACGGAGGACAAGTAATAATGATTGAGAAGAGAAATGAAGCCCATGAAACATAGTGCATTTGAGATAACGAAGGATGTGCAAGACTACTACAAAATGAGTACATCTCGGGGCAGCCATGAATTGACAAACTATATAGACAACATGAGAGATGTTTGGACGGGTGATTGTGAGGTATACTAGAGTACCAACCCATCCTGAAGAGATTAACCATCATGTGGATTGAGTCTCGTCTTGGGCTCTAGTGGTGTATCAGCAATCTTGTTGTCTGTTACTCGAACTTTTGAAAGAAGATTTAATGTGTACTTTGCCCGAGCGAGAAAGAATCGGGAGATCTTTATAATTGAAGAAGCTTAGTAACCATCAACAACTGTAGTGATTTTCAGACCAAGGAAATAGTTAAGTGGTCCAAGATCTTTCATCTCAAATTGATGATTGAGAAACTGTTTGGGTTCCTGATTTCCTACAAATCATCTTCAATGATAATCATAGGAGCTAGTAGAATCGCCAAGGCGAGAGATAGTTGAGCTTAATTTGGCAAACCAAGCTCAAGGTTTGAGGCCGTACAAGGCACGGCGAAATCGATACACCTTATTGAGAGGATGATGATAACTTATGTAACAACCCTCACCCTAGACAGACACAATATTGTCCCTTTTTGGCTCCCCCGGACCAGAGACTTCCCAGGAGTCACCAATCCTTGTATTACTCCAGGTTAAGCACGCTTAACTCTGGAGTTCTGGTAGGTTCACGGCCATCACGGCTTTAAAACGCGTTGTGTCATACAAGAGTGCTGAATCTACATATTGTACTTCCCCTTTCCATACTTAGGCGATGTGAGATTATACACCTGTAGCTCGCCCAGCGTGGTAGTCTACTGGTGCCACCTGCACACGCTTACACACATCCGTTCACAAGGTCGCTACAATCACCCCCCTTTTGGGGCCCAACGTCCTTGTTGGCCACACTTCTGACTAGGTCAATCTTTGATACCATTTGTAACAACCCTCACACTAGTCAGACAAAATATTGTCCGCTTTCGGCTCCCTCGAACCAGACACTTCCTATGGGCTCACCCATCCTGGTACTACTTCAAGTTAAGCACGCTTAACTCTGGAGTTCTGGTAGGTTCACAGCCATCACGGCTTTAAAACGCATTGTGTCATAGAAGGGTGTTGAATCTATATATAGTACTTTCTGTTTCCACAGTTAGGCGATGTGGGATTGTGCACCTGTAGCTCGCCCCAGTGTGGTAGCCTACTGGTACCATCTACACACGCTCACACACACCCGCCCACAAGGCTGCCACAACTTGGAGGAGGCTGCATGTAAACTTCCTCAAGTAAATCTCCAATGAGAAAAACATTTTTCACATGCATCTGAAAGAGACTCCAATGACAAGAGGTAGCCACAACAATAAGAGTGCGAACAAAGGGAAGGCGAACAACTGGACCAGAGGTTTCTTCAACATCAGTGCCATACTCCTATGTGAATCCTTTGGCTACAAGGCGAGCTTTGTTGTTCTTAACAGAACCATCTGAGTGAGTCTTAATCTTGTAAACCCATTTGCATCCCACAATAGACTTTCCAGGAGGCAAGTCAACCAAATCCCAATTCTGTGTTTTGGCAAGTGCATCTAACTCTTCTTTCATCACTTGTTGCCACAAAGGGCTAGAGAATGCCTCACGAAGGGTGTGAGGTTCATGTAAGGTTGCAAGAGCATGGTAGCAATGAAAATCACTAAGATGTGAAGGTGGAACTCTTACCCGAGTGCAACGGCGAAGATTCAAAGTAGTTGTATTGTTAGGTACCTCGGATAGGCTAGATGACAGGGACTCGGTTGAAGGAGGATCGACTTTTTTCAATGATTATGAAGATTGAGAATCAAGAAAAAGATTTGTAAAATATGTTAATAGAGAAACATGAAATGTATTCTCAGAACTTGGACAATGTATGAAACATCTTGTCTTCCTAGGAGACAATATCATGAGAGATTTTCAGTCGTTTAAAGATTGAACCATAGCACTAATACCCCTTTTATTCAATTCCATACCCAAGAAAGCAATAAAGTTAAGCATGCGATTGTAGTTTAGTGTGCTCACGGGGTTAGAGGTGAACAAAACAGGCACACTCAAATACTTTAAGATGATTGTAGTCAGGTGGTTTACCAAAAAGGCGTTCATAGGGCGTTTGGTTATGCAAGAGGGGTGATGGTACATGATTGATGGTAAAAGAGCAGTGAGAGCTGCTTCTCCCTAGATGGAGGTAGGAATGGAAGCAGAAAGGGTGAGTGAATAAACTGAGTCTAAAATATGTCGAAGTTTGCGCTCAACTTAACCATTCTGCAATGATGTGCCTGAACATTGAGTGTGAAAAATAGTACCATAATGTTTGAGTATTTGGGAAAATTCATTTGGTTGATATTTCAAATCATTGATTTTGATGTTTTTATAGAACTGAGTGGAAATCATTTTGGCAAAATCATGATATATGTTAAGTAACTCATATTTATTAAAAATATCCATGTGAATCATGAAAAATTATCAAGATATATGACAAAACATCGTGATCCCCCCGTGGTAGATACAAGAGAAGGTCCCCCCACACATCAAAGTGAATACCTAAAAGGTAATGCAGGTCTAACTGACATGACATTCAATCAAAATTCCTTGAACTTTAACTTGATCTAATAAACCCTTAGAGACTAAAGAAGGATGACGTAAGCGACAATGCTATAATTCAAGAGAAGAAGAATTAACATGTGTAGATACAACATAGATGGTGGGAGTAGACAGATGGAGAGAAAAGAGTTCGAACAATCATCCAATTTTACACCTTGTCCTAACAATCTGTCCTATCTAAGAATCTGTACAACACAACCATTGGAATAAAATGTGATGTTTAAGCCTAACTCGATTAATTGGGCAACAGATAAAAGTTTAATAGAAAGCTTTGGTACAAGGTAAATATCAGGAACAAATAATTGGGAATGAGAAACAGTTCATGTATGACTAAGCAGCTCTATAGATTACAGGTGAGTGAGGGGTGGGAGTTTAAGCGGTGAGTGAGGTGGAGTCAAATGTCGTGTGATTATAGCAAACAAAGCCAAAATACAAACATGAATTGTTACCTGGTGCGGTAGAAAGAGAAAATGAAGATGCACCATATATTCCAATTAAATTCTAATCGTGAATTGCCTTAAGGTTAGTTACAGAGAATGCAAATGAGGAAGAGGAAGACTCACCAGTGACTGGTATTGGAGTGGGTGCTAGTGACTGGTTGCGGTGCCCGTTGTGACTAAAAGATGCTGTCTGAAAAGGCACTACCAGAGGATGGTGTAGCTAAACCGGTGGGAGTCTATAAACGTGTCTTCCTTTAGACAAGCTCATTGAGAAGAGCTTGGATAAGATGAATGACCTCGTTTTGTGCCATTTAGAGAGAGAAAAAAAAAAAACTATGGTTAACGTGGCTACTGGCATGGGCGATGACTTGCCAGACTGCTAATGTGGCATAAAATATGGACCAATGTCTGACGTGGCTGCTGATGTGACACAGTGGCTGGCGTGGCACTATGCTGATGTGGTAGTGCTGCTGATGTGTTTGCTGAAATGGCTGCCAAATCATATCTGATGCTGAAGTGGCGGACGCGTGGAGCAGACGTGGCGGCTGACTGTGCAAAGGCCTTCAGCGCGCATGAGTAGGCGCGTGACAGAGCGAACTGAATGACAACACCTTTAGGCGGCACATGAGGGCGCGTGGACTATATGTTAAGGGTGATTCTAGCCGCGTTGGGACGGTTTGTCTATACTTCCGAATGATCTGATCTGGAACTCGAAATACGCTTTGGAAGACCTACTACTGAATGTGGCAGTGCTTGAGCGCTGTGTTAGGAGTGGCGGCACTGGTGTTGTGGCCCCGAACAATTGAAAATGCCCCTAAAAGAGAAGAGAAAATGAAAAGAAAGTAGAGAAAAGGTTTTATAACCTTAGCTCTGATACCATGTTAGAAGCGATGGGGAAATTGTATGTTATATTGAATTAATTATAACAGTACATAATAGTCCTATATATAGGAAAATATTAAGAGTAGGTGAGTGTTGTACAAATAAGCCATAAATGACAACTGGGTGGTTGCATGACTTGCTTGTACATCACTCACCTACTTCCAGCCTCCTCTTATATATAGGCTCTCAGCAAGACCCATTTGTCATAAATGTACAAGCAAGCCATATATGGCAACTGGGTAGGTGTAGGAGTGCTATACAGGAAATCCTAAGGTTAGGTAAACGATTGTACAATATATATGTTGGAGAATAATTATAGAACTGATTTAAGCCCTTAAATCACTGCTTGACAGAATGTTAACATTGCTATACTTGGCCAACAAGTTGTTGCCATCTTTGTATTTGACTTTCTATGTAATTCCTTTATTATAAACTACTTATAGAGCAAGAAATTTCTATTCTCTAGCTACAAGTTTTCCTTAATTCACCTATAAATAGAGGTGGTTTGTGTAAACAAAAATCAAGAGAGAATGGAATGAAAGAGATGTAGCTATTTGGGCTTTGTGTGTCGTGGATGTAAGCCCTAGTGGCCAAACCAAGTTATATTCTTGTGTTTTCCATTTTCTAATTTCTCTCGTTGGGAGTGGCGGCACTGGTGGTGGTGACCCCGAACAAGTGAAATCGCCCCTAAAAGAGAAGAGAAAATGAAAAGAAAGTGGAGAAAATGTTTTAAAACCTTAGCTCTGATACCATGTTAGAAGAGATGGGGAAATTGTATGTTATATTGAATTATTTATAACAATAGGTAATGGTCTTATATATAGGAGAAGGTTGGGGGTAGGTGAGTGTTGTACAAGTAAGTCATAAATGGCAACTGGATGGTTACATGGCTTACTTGTACAACACTCACCTACCCCCAACCTCCTCCTATATATGGGCTCGCAGCAAGACCCAGTTGTCATATATGTACAAGTGAGCCTTATATGGCAGCTGGGTAGGTGTAGGAGTGCTAGACAAGAAATCCTAAGGTTAGGTAAAGGACAGTACAATATATACAACATGTAATCTAACACATACCAATTGCTCACATGTCAAGAAGGATTGAGACAGCGAATATAACAAAAATTCAAATAGAGATCAGGATGTGAGATGAATCTCCACTCTGCAGCATAACACCCATAAGAAATTAAGGTCTGGCCATGTGGCTGTGTAAAGCCATGGCGGTGGGTTGCGAGGGGCATCCTTCAGCAGTAGATGAGTAGAGCGTTTCTACAAACCATGCAAAATGGCATGATGGAAGCTCTGTTCATGAGAAGCAACTGAGATATTAAACATTTTGGAGTAGGAAGGGGCTTTCACATCTCTAATGAAGAACTTTGGTAATTTATATGTTTGCTATGACTTTTTCTTCCAGAAGCATGAAGATAATTGTGGGAGAAAGAAAGTCACTTCAAGGAATAATGTTTTAGATATAAAGATACAAACGGACAGTGGTAAAATTTAAGCCTCTTTATTATGATATCTCTGCAGTGGTTTTCCTAGTAGTATGTGTCGTATTTGAGATGAGGCATGTCAAGAAAAAGGTGTACCTTTTACGTAAAGGTTTAGTTGAAGTGCCCGAACTTTTGATATGTAACACAATATTCAGTCTCAAGACTATTATGGTATTACTAATAAATAAAAAAAGACTATTACAGTATTACTGCTTCAGTTCAATTTGTTCTGCACGATAATGTCATAGAGTTGGTATCAACATCGGGTTATGATTACTTTTCTGAGTATATCTCTGAAGTATTTGAATTTTTTAGCTCAATTCTATAACTCACTTTGTGTATTTGTGAATGGTCCAGTTACGGGATAGCTGCAATCTCCCCATTTTCTCATCGTCTGGCTTTTGACAACATGCCAAAGGACATCCAACACCTGCGTTGCAAAGTCAATTTTCAGGCATTAGGTTTTGTTCCTCATATCAGAGCTCTTGGTGATGCTCTTGTGGAACGCCTTCGGTATCCTCCTAGCAAAATATCGCTTGGTGACAATTACCTAAGAGAGTATACTGATGCAAATGACAAACAAGGAGCTGGAAAGTTTGTCGCCCTACACCTTCGGTTTGATAAGGTATGAACCCACTTCACTTTAAGAATTAGGGGATCTAATTAAAATTCTGCATTTCTAGTTTTGTATTCTAGTAGCCCTTGGGCTAAAGATACGACGGTATGACACTTCCACTCATTGATAAAAATAACCTGCCTGTTGTGCCTGGGTAAAATAATCCTTCAAGATAATAGGTGGTATTGCCCTTCCTTGTGCATTTAATAAAAATAAATTCATTAGTTTTATACAACAGCAATCGAACCTTTTTCCCAACTGCTTATTAGGGTCAGCTAAAAGGGCTAGCCCAGTGCATGAGGCTGCCGCTATTGCAGGCTACGCAGCCTTACCTCTGCATGGAGAGGCTGTTTTTGGTTTCGAACCTATGACCTCCAGGTTACAATGGAGCAACCTTACTGTTGCGCCGAGGCCTTATCCACAAATATATTTCTAAACAGAGTTCCAAGCTAAATAACTGCATAAAAAGTGATGGGTAGTCACTTTAAATCTTCCAATTAGTCATGTTTAGTTGGACTATAAATACATGTATTTTGCATTCATGCTCTCTCATCTTATGATTGCCTTTGCTTCTATTTAGTTTTACCATCTGCGTTTAGACTATAAAGTATTTTTGTCCATGTAATCTTTCTATGCAGGATATGGCTGCCCATTCAGCCTGTGATTTCGGCGGGGGAAAAGCTGAAAAACTGGCTCTGGCTAAGTACCGGCAAGTGATTTGGCAAGGAAGGGTCCTGAACTCTCAGTTCACTGATGAAGAGTTGAGGAGTCAGGGCCGCTGCCCATTGACTCCTGAAGAAATAGGATTGCTGCTAGCAGCTTTGGGCTTTGACAACAGTACTCGTCTATATCTTGCATCCCATAAGGTTTATATAGAACTTTCTCTCTTGTTTCAACTGAACACTTAATTCCAACTGTTTGAACTCTCTCTCTTTATCCGAAAGTGAAGCTCTTTCTTTGTTGTTTAAAGTTTAATATTGTTAATGGTTATGTTTTTCAGGTATATGGTGGGGAAGCTAGGATCTCAACCTTAAGGAATTTGTTTCCACTAATGGAAGACAAAAAGAGCCTTGCCTCTTCAGAGGAAAGGGCCCAGATCAAAGGGAAGGCATCTTTATTAGCTGCGGTTGATTACTATGTCAGCATGCACAGTGACATCTTCATTTCTGCTTCACCTGGCAATATGCACAATGCAATGGTATGCATTTCTGACTACAATTATACACAACTCTATGGGCTCTGCTGACAGCAGCATATTTAATAAAATTGTCCAATTGTATCCCAGAACAATTGATGTCATCAACCGTATCATCATTAGTCAACTGTCCATACAGTTTGAACTTTTAATGTCAATTCTCATTGTGTAAACCAGCCATGGTTGCTTTTGATGGCATGCTGCATTGCAAGTGACCATCCTTACAGACGGAACTTCTAATATTTCTCATGGTGGAAACCTGCAATGGTTGTTTTTGATGCAGCATGCTGTGCTGCAAATAACAAATCAGGATTAGCATTGGCATTAGGTGAATTGTTTAGTGAAATAATTTAGCATAGAGAGATAGAGTTCAGGAATTAAGTTCGGTTATCTTTTATTTGTCTTTTTCTTTCCATTTCTTTTTCCCTTGTATATTATGTTTCCTAGGACTCGGGGGATTATAGGATGACTTGGACAAAGTTGCTATTCGAAACAATAATTTTTTTTGTGATTTTCCCCATCCCTCATTCATTTAAAAAATTCGAAAAAATCAATAGTAATTTTTGTGATGTTAGTTTATAATTTGCTGGTGGTTGAATTGGGTGTTAGAATTGTACATTCATTTAATTTGTAATCAAAGAGGTTCTGCTATAATTAACCATTATTTGCTCGATGAATATATATATATATATATATATATATATATATATATATATATATATATATATATATATATATCTTGTGGTGATGATTTTGAGTGCCCAAGAGGTTCTAATGCCAGAGTCTCAACTTTAACAGGTGGGACTCAGGACTTACTCAAATCTGAAGACGATAAGGCCTAACATGGCATTGTTAGGCCAGCTCTTCCTAAATAAGAGCATGGTTTGGTCAGACTTTCAACAGGCAGTGGTGGAAGGGCACGAAACCAGGCAAGGGCAGATCAGGTTGCGGAAACCAAAACAGTCCATATATACATATCCTGCTCCTGATTGCATGTGCAATGCTTAAGGTAACATCATTCTTGAGAGTCTGAGCATGCCTTGTATGTCTATATGATTTGCAGCTGAAAGCTATTGGTTTCGGTTTAGCGTATTTAAGATAAAAGTCCCTTTCTAATTATTCATGTGTTATCTTGTACGAAAGTTCATCAAGAATACAAGATGGATATGTGAAATACGTTGCATATGTCAATTCGTTGAGTGTGATTTATGAATAGAATTTGTAGACCAGTGTATAATGTAGTATATCTTTTGAAGTTGTTTTCTGCTCAGCTTATCGAAGGGGTTTATATAAAGACATGGTTTTTTTAATCGGCAAGAAACACACTCACACATTCACTTTTGCCCCTTCGGGAACTTGAATCCTCGACCTTCCATGGAAGGCGAGAAAGTACCATCAGACTATCTTGAATTTGCATTGAAGAGATGACAGACCAGACTTAAATCTTTTAGACGCCATATTTAAGGCTTTTGAGGTGTTTGAATACATTTTCCTTGCATTAGAGAGTTCATTTGCCTTCTCATTGCGTTCGTGAGCTCTGCTTCCCAGTTTTCGCTCTACCCTCCTGGTTTTTGATGAGTTTGCTCATTGCGGATCGTCTTCAAGCTCAGGGCAGTTATAATTTTATTAGGTATTCTCCCCTGGCCTTCTCAATCTCAGCTTCAGCTTCAGCTTCATCTAAGCTCTTCAAAGACTATCCAATTTCTTCCTCTTCATTCAAGTCCAATTTACACTTGTCCCAGGTAAAACACAAATTCAGATGATAGTTCCAAGTCAATAATAATAAAGAACCAGTATATATAAATTCAAAACAACTTGGTGCCACCAAATACAACAATCTTAATGCTCAGCATTACTATAACAGAAAATACAGAGACTTGCCAGAAAATTTAAAAATAAAAAAATAAAATTATGAGATATTGTTGCAAATTAGCCTTCCTTTTCATATGATAGGATGTAGTTGTTATTAGGCAAGTCCAGGTGTCCAAGAGAGTAATCCAATTATATCTCATTGTAGCTTTTAAAAAAATGACAACAAATTATTCTTATGAGATGAATCTTTGGTGGGTTATATTGTGAGACCTATCTTGCTTAATGGTTGAGATTGAATAATTTGATAGCAAGGCCCAAATGGTAATGACAATAAGCTTGATATTCAAGGAGCAGTATCTCTCTGGTATAAATTCAGGTCTTGTGTCGTCCACTTTAAATAAAATAAAATAAGTAGAAGTAAAACACACAGAGATTACGAGGTTCAGTCATTAAGGCTTACATTCACGGCATAAAGAGTTCAAAAGGTTACATTACCTTATAATACTCTCTCAAATCATATACTCCTTTATGTAGGAGAAGAAGTTATGAGAATGGAAAGAATTAAAAAAATCATATACGATACTCCTTTATATAGAAGAAAAAATTATGAGAATGAAAATAATTAAAAAAAAAAAAAAGAAGCAAGGTTGAATTTTTTTCCATTGATTCCTCCACTAAATACCAAATCTTTAATAATAAAAAATAACATCAATTATTGAAAGATTTTTTTTTACTGATTTTTTTATTAAATTCAATAGCACAATATTATGTGAAAGTGTTGGATTCTTGATCTAAATTTTTTTCACTGATTCTCCCATTAAATCTTCAATAAAATCAACAGCACAATAATTACTTAAAAATGTCGAATTCTAGATCTAATAGTGTTGCAATGACTGTCACTCTCCAATGCAAACCACAAAAACAAGAGAATATACAAGTCAATCAAAGAAATCTTTTAATTTATTTAAATATATTATATATATATATATATATATATATATATATATATTTTAAATCAAATCCATCACCAAACCAGTCACGGTCCTATAAATGATATCGTATTGTCTTGTCCTACTTATAAGAGAGATGAGTGGGCAGACCTCATAATTCTGTCCGCTCCTTTTATTGTGTTTCAGCCTCTAATTCTGACTTTTAATGCACCATGAACTCTCAATCTCACTTGTGCCTACATATTTATTGGATACCACATATGTCTTATCTATATATATATATATATATATATATATATATATAGATATCAAAAACTACCATACAAATAAAACTACAAAACAAAAGAGCCATATACAAACAAAGCTTTGAGACAGAACTAGGGATTGAATCCCAACATACCAACTTATCCCGTGAGAATGGGACCATTTTGCACGCTGCATTTGCTGACCCATTACCCAACTTTAGAGTCAATTTTAGAGAGATGTTTCCTCTATCGAGCAAAAATTTACAACCATCAACGATCACATTCATAGCTTCTTTCGTCAGATTAAACTCTATAATTGATTTACAATCACCTTCCACAACTATGTTTGACAAATTCCAATCCAAGCACGCTGAAGGGCAACACGTAACACCAAATCTTCTGCAACTGTGACTGATGGTGTATGGGAGAAAGAAATAGAAACAATTCTCAACAAAATACCTTCATGATTACGAAGAACAAACGCCCCCCTGCAGTCGAGTGATCTCCCATTAAAAGAAGCATCGACATTCAGCTTACAAAACCCAGTTGGAGGAGGGGACCATAAAGACATATGGTTGAGACTAGGAGAAGCTGTGACCGCATTAAGTGGTGTTGACGACGAATCTCTTGGCTCTCAAAAAAATCCCGAATCGCATTATCCACAACAGTTTTAGGATCCATCTTTTTCTGATTAAAACTCCCTATTGTTTCGATTCTTCCATATATGCCAACAAATATAGGAAGCCAAGTACTTTTGCCTTTTCTTATTCAAAAAAAAACAAAGAAAAAAAAAGAAAAAAAAGGAGGAGGACAATTAGCTCAAACGATGCTTTTTCTCCGAGAGGTTGAATATTCGAATTTATTAAAGACAATATTGTGAGTGTGTGCATAGATTATAAGATCATAAAGAGGAATAGGTTAAAGTTATCAACTCTAGTCACTTTTTTTCGCTTTTAGGTGAAACAAAATCCAGAACAACTTTAGTCACTTTCTTGTAAAATTGATTAAGTAGACATGTTAAAGCCAAACATATGAAGGTGATGGCATATATGTATTCTAACCCAAAGTGTATGGGGTGTGTGGATACATTCAAGGGAATTTGACTCATGCAGTGTAAAAATATTCCAAAGAAGAGGGGAAAAAAGAAGAAGCAATAGTATACATCATTAAACATCAACATAACATATATGAATTTTATTGATTGAAAGTAGGGTTCCACCAAACATCAATTAATGTCATAAAGTGTAGTTATTGCATCAATAGATTTCAATTATAAATTTTCATTAATAAGTGAATTTTATGAGTTTATTTTTATTTTATACGAAAAATAATAAACTCACACACCCAAATCACTTCACATGTTTTTACAAGACTTGAACCTGAACTTCTACTTTGACAAGTGAAATTGATGAGTGGGAAAGGGATTTTTGTAACCTCATGATATTTGCTAGCCATGAACCTAAGATAATAGAATCACTTGTGTATTGGAATGTCATACTCACACTTACCAAATGAAAATGTAATAATGGGGCCTACTTAGTAGCCCTCTCCATTTCAACCAGCTCATACACTACATGAGATTTGGTAAGGATTGAGAAGACTACCCTTTCCTTCAAACAAAACCTATGCATATACTTTCTTATCATGTTTTAAGGTAAAGAAGTATGGAATACGAATTTCAAAATAAATTATCAATTTTAATTACATGAGAAGAAAATGATGTAATTAAAATTGATAATTTATTTTGAAATTCGTTGTGTGAAAAAGAGAAGAAGTCACGGATTCAAAGTAAGAAAACAATCTCTCCGCATGCAATGAAAAAGTTATATATAATTAGTAATTTTAGGAATCCGAATACGAACACATTTGTTCGGGGAATTGGGCGATTTACTAATTAAGTGTTATAAGGGATACTTATCCCATATCAGATCCAGATGAAAAGTGAAATGGGTATAAATAGGTGAGTATGCAATACTACCTAATAATTTAAGCTTTTGGATAAATGGATAAGTACCCACCCGTCACAATTGGTATCAGAGTCAGACTGAATCCTTAATTCGGTGTCACTCTAAGCGCCCGGGTAGACAGGGTGGCCTAATTACAACGAGAGCGTTGCGAGTTTAGATGTAAAAAAATATTACACGAGATATTTATCCCAAAACATAAGTAAATATGCAAAATTACTCAATAATTTAAAATTTTAAATAATTAAACAAACGTTCACCGATTACATGCGTTGCCTTGGTAATAACCAAGCTCATTCTAACTTCTTTGTAATATTACAAAAGAAAATGACACATATTTATATATTTATTTTTATTAGTATTTTACTTTTCCGGTCTTTAGTCTCATGGCCAGTGCCAAGTGGAAGTCTACAACTTTTGGCTGTCTGGCTGTCTTTGTTGTTTCATTTTCAGATGAGTGGGCATATTAATTTCACTTTCAATTCCACTCAAATTGACCAAATCTTGTTAAGCTTAATAAATAAAATGGGCCCTACTTGCATGTTAAATTTGTAGAAACATTATTGGATAGTATAAATGATCAATTATATACTATATGTCATTACAACTGGCATTGGATTATATTGCTTATAAAATGATTAATATGCTCAATCCTTTTTAAATAACAATTAAAAAAAAAAAAAAACTTGGAGTGGTGAATCCTAAGAATTTGATCAAATCTTCTGTCTTTTTTTAATAAACTAACTTCTAGCATTCTTTACTTTAGATTTATTTGGTTCCAACTACTTCAACAGATTGGGTTTAAGTTTATATTTCAATATTATTTGAGGCTTATTTATTTAAAAAATAAAAATCATAATACAATAGAATATGAGAGTTTGTTTGATTGACAATTTAATAAAAACTATTCCCTGAAATCTTAGTTAAATAGAAAATTTTATTTTGAAAGAACAATTTTTTGTAATCCTCTTAAAATTATTTAGGATGTGTTTGGTTGTATGGAATTAGAGTCTTATAATTAGAATTGGTAAAACTTGAAAAAAAAAATTAGTTCAATTTTATAAATTATTTTTATTAAATTTCACCGATTCTAATTTCAAGACTCTAATTCCATGTAACCGAAAACATCCTTAGGCTATGTTTGGTAAACATGTGATTAGAGTTTTAGAATTGGAATGGAATTGGTGGAATTAGAAAATAGTGACTCATAAAATTGAACTAAATTTTTTTCAAATTTTTACTAATTCTAATTCCAAAACTTTAATTCAATACAACCGAACACACCCTTAGGCTATGTTCGTTAGGCACGAAATTAGAGTTCTAGAATTGGAAAAAAGTAACTTAGAAAATTAAATAAAATTTTTTTTTAATTTCTTTAATTTTAATTTCAAGACTTTAATTCTATGCCGTCAATTCTGATTATTAACCAAATAATTATTTATATTTTTTTCACCCAAAAACAGTGATGGGATACATCTAAAAACTACATGTGCATACAAAATCTATCTCCAAACTTTTCCTTTTAACATTCTGTGTGCCTATGTAAGGATGACAACGTCTATGGAGAGAAGTCTTAGGAAATTAAGATAAGGCCAAGGTTGATGGTAATGGCAAGGCTAGTGGGGAATATGACTTTTAATTGTGAACTTTGGGGAGATAATAAATGGAGTCCACTTCTATCTTGTCTTTTTCTTTAACTTAAATGACTGACAACTTCCCTCTTTGTTATTTCACTTTTTTAACTCTTTGTTTAAAGGGAGAGGAATGGAAAACCAGAAGAAAGGAAAGGGTAAGAATGGGTCGAGAGAAAGGATGATGTTTACCAATTTTTTTTTTTTAGTTTCGTTTGAATGGATAAAATAGAATATTATTGGTGCAATAATGACATAGTATCACATATTAATTTAATACGAATAAATAATTAAATTTTATGTATATATATTTAATTAGTACATGTTATCATGTCACTATTACAACATGAGCATTTAAATTTTTTCTCAACAAATAAACATTATAATTGTTTGATTAATATATTTCAGTTAAATCAATAGATTTTTGTAGTTACACCGACTTTTAAAAATAATAAAACCTCCTTTTATTTTTATAGGTATTTTCATGATTATTGATTCTCATATCAAGTCGGTTACGTAGTCAGTGAAATATAATAATTATACGTACTAACTTAAATATTTTAATATATAAATTAGTACGTTACAATGGGGGTGCTAATGTCTTTTCATATTTATTTAACAAATTTTTATTTATTTATTTTTATTTTTTACCGTTCTCGTTTTCCCACTTTTAAATAGAAGAAAAATAATGGGTCAAATAATCCCTCCATTCCCTTCCTTCATATCATCATCCAATCAAACAACAAGGAAGACTTGTTCCATTTTTCGATAAATTTATCGTTCCTTCCTTCCAAACAAAACATAAAAGTTTTTCAATGAGCACATTTTTCCGGTTATGACTTGTTCCCATGAGCACATTCTGCCATCATAATGTCTTTCAATTCCATTGTTGAAGTCGACTCTAAGGTGAAGAATTAAAATCCTTCCCGATGACTTGTACTTCACAGTGAACTGACCTTCTTAGATGACTCTATGATGTCTTTCAATTCCATTGTTGAAGTGGACGCTAAGCCGCTAAGGTGAGGAATTAAAATCCTTCTTGATGACTTGTACTCTGTAGTGAAATGACCTTTTTAGATGACTCTGTAACTGTTGATCTCAGTCCTCCTTAATACATTGTTCAAACTTTTTCTTGGCTCGGACTTCACACGTGTCATTACACGGACCATACACAAGTAATGATTGGTTTCACAGCCATCCACGTCAGCAAATTCTTCCCATTTGTCCACCATTGGGTCCCATTAGCTGACGTCCCTAGACTTTTTTTTAAATCATTTTATACTCTCAGATTTTCCAATTTTTTTAATGATTAGGGAAAGAGTATATGATACTCCAAGATGACCACATAATCTGGTATTATTATTGGACGGGCACGATCATCTTCTCTCTAAATCTAAGCCGTTCGATGTCTCCAATATAATCCAAATCGAAATACAAATGCTTATATATCGACAAGACGACTCCCATAGTCAGTTGATTTCTGAGATAGAGTAGAGAGAGAGAGAGAGAGGGAGAGGGAGCGTGTGTGGTGTGGAGAGAGAAACGTAGAAAAGGGTAAGAGAGGCAACTAGAGTCAATAGACATGGAATGTTGGAGTGATAGCTAGGGTTTCGAACTCAAGTTCTGCGATTTCACCGTTCCTTTCTCTTTCCGGCCAAAAAGTTTTTGTTTTTCCGGTGATACCACCGTTAGATTTGGTTAAAACTTCTACTTCTCGGCGAGAATTTCGGTTTTTTCGGTGATATGACCGTTTGATAGGCTTATCACCGTTTGATTCCCCCGAAAAACTTACTCTCGCCGGCGAAATTGCCCGGTTTTACTGTGACATGGGTGATGAAATGATCGTTTAATCTCTCCATTTTTTTCGGTAATCCCGAATTTGCCCCCAAATCACGAATTTTTTTATTTATTTAATTTTTTTAATCTGTTTGCTGAAATCATAGTTGGTTTTCCAATTGTGGGTTTGGAGCATTGATTTTTCTTTGATCTTTTGTGTATGTTCTGAGAAATTTGCAGTATTGAAGTATTGAGTGGATTATCACTATTTCTGTTGTGGAGTTCTTTTAACTCTGAAGATATTATTGTGTTCAATTATGGTTCTGAAGTTGGATCAAGTGTTACTTCACTTCCCTTTATTTATTGGTTACTCTTAATGGAAGTGATTGTCTTCACATCATAGCTTGTTTGTGAAGTAGGCTGATTTTTGTGTGCCTTAAATTGGAACTCAGTCATGAGAGTTATTGTGATATAAAAAAAGTTCAAAAGACCTTTTTGTAAATCATTTGATGATGATTTTTACTTTATGTTTTTAAAGTTTTTTTTTTTTTTTTTTTTTCATAATTTTAGCCGAATTTAAAGTTTTTTTGTTTGGATCCCATTGACATTTTGACATCTTCCCTAATTTGGTTTTATTTGCATTGATTCTTTTCCTAATCTGGTGTTGCTGCAATAGGCAGAACCCACTTGCAATTCTCGAGCTTTTGGCCGGCCTTGATTTTGTGCTCCAATTCGGAGAATTCTGAATACCCTTTTTATCCAAATTTTGCTCTCTTGGTGTTTGGTGAAATGGCTGTTTCTTTTACCCGATTTTCGTGGTGGTTGTGGGGTGGGAAAGATAAAGAACCTGTTGCTAATGGGTCTTCGAAAAATTCTTCTTCGGATTGGGGTTTAGGTTTGAGGGAACCGGATGCACATACAGTGAAATTTCCATCCGTTAAGGGGGCGAAGATGGCCTCTTCGACGAGGAAGGTAAAACGGAAATGGCAGAGCAGGGAAGAAAGGAGAATTGACAAGGAGTATGATGGTGTGTTGGTGCCATCAGATGGCGTTTGTTTGTCGGGGTCTGAATCCGATGACTCGGACTGGTCAATTGGGTGGCTGGAACCGCACGCCCCTGATTTCCAGAGTGATGATGAGGCAGACGACAGTTTTGCGGTGTTAGTTCCTTGCTACAAGCATAATTGCAAGGAGTTGGAGGAAGGGCCGAATAATCAGTTCTTGAATGCCATCAAGAACCTTCCAAATGAGTATTCTGCTGGTAATAATCTGTTTTCATCTTTAATTAAGTGGAAGAGGTAGATTTAGCTTTTGTTAAAACTTTTGAATTGCCTGTGTGCTACTTGAGCTGCATTTAGAGTTCCCTGCTTCTTGTTGGGTACACTTTGAAATATTTTAATTTAGCAAATTGAAAAACTGAAATTGAAAACTTATACTAAACATAAGTTTGAAACATAGATGCCATCTTCTAGTAGTGAGATTGAAACATAAAGTGGTGCTTACTTTGTATTGGCATAGATCATTAAAGTGCTTCATTTTAATTATAAAGTAGTCATTTATTTGGGTTTCTTTTGACATTTAGTGGGTTTTGTGCTCCCTATGGTTTATGATTTGATTTATCAGTTGTGTTGAGACCCCTTGCATCCGTGTTTTGGATTATATGCGTGTCGGTATGTACATCATTCCCATTCCATGCGTCTGACTGCTATTTATCCTCTTCAATTCAACAGTAGGAAATATCTCTTAATGTTTAGAAGAACAAATGTAAAATAATATATATATATATATATATATATATATATATATATATTTGGTTTTGTCTTCCTTGCTATTTGCTTTGTCATCTGGTCCACTTGTGCTAATTGTTAAATTCCTTTTCTGTTTTTGAGAATTCCTGGTCCTGTTCCAAGGCAAATCAAAAACAGAAAGATGCACCTTCTGAGGACTGTTTGAACTGAAATAACCCACTGATCTACCTCTTTGTGGAGGTTAAGAAACTATTAAAATATCAGTTATTCCACCTTTTTAATTTAACGACGTAAACTAATTGATTTAGGGGATTTAGGCATTTCCTGTTGCATGATTGCATGCTTTCTCTAAACCTATTCATGGGTCTTCAATAGAAACAACTCCCCTCCCTCTCCCAGAGCTACCCACATAAATGAGAAAAAAAGCCTCTTTTTTTCTCTCTCTTGTCTCCCTCTCCCTCTCCCTCTCCCTCTCCCTCTCCCAGAGCAACTAGAGTTTACCAATGCGGCCTTGACTAATTATTTGTTTATTTGATTTGTTAGATGAGCTTCTTGGTTAGTCAGACTTTGGCTGTAAATTTATTTTGTTGGATTTTGGAAACTAATGTTATTTTCATGGTTGCCTGGAAAGTGCACTTTGTTGATGCTAATGCATTCTTGTGGGTGTGCAACAAGACAAGACATAATAGAATTAGAAATGAATACATTCTTGAGATGGTTGAAGTATTGGAGATAAAATGAGAAAATCGATTGAGGAGTTTGGAGATTTGCAAAGAAGGCCGCTAAGTACAACAAACAACAACCACCAGAGCTTTTTTTTTTTTTTCTTTCCCTAATTGTTCGGGTTGGGGTCGGCTACATGAATCCTATTTTTCATTCCGCTTTATATAATGTCATGCCATTAGTCAAACCACATGTTATCAATCATTCGTTACCAACTCTATTCACGTTAATTTTAGGTTTCTCTTCCCTTAGTACTACCCTCAATGTGGACTATGCCACTCTTATTAACTGACCCTCTTAAAGGGTCTTCTGTGTACATTTCTAAACCATCTTAAACGATTTTTTATCATTTTTATCTCCAATTGGTGTTATTTCAACCATCTTATGAGTGTGATCATTTCTAGTCTTATCACGCATCCATCTCAAAATAAGGAAGAGTTACATGGTTTAGTGATTCGAACTCCCTTTGAGTTCATGAATTAAAATCCATCTTTTGAACAGAAAAAGGAAAAGTTACTTAGGCTACATTGAGAGTAATGCTAGAGGAAGGGGAAATCAAAATTAATATGGATAAAGTTGAGTAAGGAAAGATACAATAACCATATGTTTTGACTGTGGCTATGGCTATGGCATTAGATAGTGTAGTATTGGAAAAGTAGGATTTACTGATCCTAACTAGTTGGGCAAAAAGGATTTGTTGCTATTTTTGTAATGCTTTATTTGGGTTCAACTCCGCTAGCTTAATTAAAGTGCATGAGTTCATTAGATGTTCCTTTAAAATTGATAAAGCTAAACTTCTATCTCTATTTTCCAATGGGCCTAATGTTTGTTTGTTCTCTGTCTTATGGTTGGATATGCAGAGGGCAAAAAGTATGTGGAGCAGTGGCTTTCTTCTATTTAGAATTGCTGATGCATACTGATTCTTGGTGGCCTGGTTCTTGATTCTGTGGTGATCCATTTGAAGTAATGGCTGAGATGTGGTACGGGTTAGAACTTGGGAAAAAATATTTCTCTCTCTCTCTCTATATATATATATAATACAAATAACAAAAAGAAGAAAAAGAGAAGTTAACAACTGTGTCTGCAGTCTGTGAGGAGTGCAGATGATGATCAACATATGTTTAAGTCGAGGGGAATTTATTCAGTTGAGAAAACAGGTTCTCTTATGATTCAGCAATGTCAGTGATGAAGAACATATGTATCTTACTGTTTTTGCTGCACATTTTCTTATGTTCTCCAGGTTGTATGGTGTTAGGGTTATGTCAACCATTGCAAGGAGTAACTAGAAATGTAGTGCAGATATTTTGTTTTCAATACTACTGCTGTAAATATATAGAACATATTTATGCTCCACTGATAATTTTTCGTCTCTTTAATGGTGAGAGTAAGGGTCTTCTGTTCGTTTCTCATTATGGTTTCATGGCATTCTAGTATGCAATCATGTTTCAGTTTGTTTGATACTTTATTTGGTTAGCATACTCTTGTTTCTAAAAGCAATTTCAAATATGTATATATATGTGGATGTATATTGTGTGTGTGTTGATAATTCTTCCTCAAACGAGGGAAACATTTGCAAAATGTTGTTGACCAGGCAAGTACGTGAAGGCGCTTTGTCATGGATCAGGATTCTCTCCTGTTCTTTTTGGTCCTGTGTCGTCTGGTGCGTTGTTGATGCAACAACTTCAAATTCTCGATTCAATGGTGCTGTAGTATTGTAATATGTTGCATAATTGTTATATTTTCAATGTAAATGTGTTGCAGGAGTGCTACATTGTTACGTTAGTGTTGCACGTGACGTGTAGTGTTATATTGTGATGTAGTGTGCTGTACCGGAGAAGATTCGGATTCCTTTTGTCGTACTTTGTGCCTTCTTTTTGGCCTGTGTTTTTTTTGGAGTGGACCCTCTTGCTCCATTGCTTTGAGTTGTTACAATAATGAGTAGATGAGAATGGTTTGATCCTTTTCACAAAGAGTCCTTGAATCACAAAAGATGGAGCATCTTTCCTTGTTTGTTAAAATCTGATTCTTGTGAGACCATGGCATGTGGCCTATGTCACTCTTAGGTCTAATGTGATCAATAATGATCCTAAATAGGTTGTTTCCTTTTGGCCCTTCATTTATTATTTGGATGAAATGTCCCAAATCCGATTGTAGATTTTTTCTTAAGGGCTACTCAGTATACGAGACTTCTACGTAGAGTATAGGGAGGGTGACTAGGAAGGGTCAGACTTATATTTTTCATTCCATACATGAATTCATGTTGTTGGTGAACCTTGACTCCATCGTCTCTTGCTTAGGACTCATGTAATTAGGACTCATGTAATTAACTTATAGGTATTGCGTGGGGATATTTTAGTATATTATGCACTTATTATGTTACCCCAATGCGAGAATATAATATTTATTTATTTTGAACTTTCCACAGTGTGTATCGTTTTCTGAATATATTAAAATTCCTACTACCCCATTAACGTAACCTAGAGAATAACTCATATCTTGTGCAACAAACATTGTGAAAATTCAAAGCCTTGGTTGAATCAATCAAGATATTCATTGTTGACATAACATAAAATCCTTAGCTGTAAATTAAATATTGCTGATGACTCTAGTCTTCCCATCTATGGAAATTGATTGGACAAAAGGTCTCTCTGCCTTCAACTTTACTCTTGCTTTACGAATGAGAAAATTGTATGGGAAGATGGTTGATAAAACTTTATCAGTCCATGGTCGGCAAGTTCTTTGACTTCTTTCCCCAACCTAAACTAGATGTAAATTGGATCAAGTAATCATAAGGAATATATTCCATCTAATCCCATTCCATAGTTTGTTGATTATCTATTAATAAATTCATATTTGACTCAATATATTAAGATTTATGATTTTTGTTTTTAAAAAAAATATATATAGTGTCAAAAGAAATGAGAGGATAAAGAAAACAATATATCTTTCGATTTCAGAAGATTTAAAATGAAGTTTGTACGAATGGAATGGAGATCCCACTGCAAAATATCATGTCTCCGTTCACATACTTATTTCCTCTAGTATTCTCCGAATTGAAGGATAATAAAAAATAATAATAATAATAAAAAAGTCAGTGAGAGAAGACAATTAGAAAAAAAATGTGAGCCAAAAAAGAGAAAAATGAGATATTGACTCTTTGTTAAATTGGAAAACAATAAGGAGAGAAAATATAGAGAGAGGGAAGAAGAAGAGGAAAGAATGAGGAAATTTTTTGTTAATAAAATGAAAATATTATATATGAATATATCATAGCATTATATAACATTATGTATGCTATAAGTTAATATTTCTTTTGGCCAATTTTGAACAAATTGAAACATTTTTTATTAGCTCTTAGTATCGTTTTAAATTTTAATACAAACAACATAATAATCCGTCCACCATCTTTTCTTTTTTTTCCTCAAAATATATGAAAATTGTAATGAGCTATGAGGACACCTCATAATAATAGGCTTCTTTACTCATTTCGAAATACGGTCAATATTGTTATTTCACAAGACATCATTTCTTGAGAAGCGCACAAACAAGATGCAACCAAGTATAAAAAAATCAAACTTCTAACTTTATTCTCATCTCTTTTTAAGATTCCCTAAGCTTCTTGCAATTCACTTCTAAGAAGAAAGTTTATAATTTTACGTAGGTACTATATTTTTTAAACCTCTTAATAGTTAGATCATTTATCAAATGAGTTTTACGTACCATCATATTTAACGACTACAAACCTTGAGGGGATACAATATTTCGAGATATTGTAGACTTTTAGGTTGTGTAGGTCGATGCACAGAAATGTGTGGTACCCATATATATTATTGTGCTGGCTCCCATACGCTCGTGTAAAAGCTTTTTCCTTGCAAAGGACGTTGAGAACCAACACCATTTACGCGCTTCCTATGCATGTACATTTTTCTAAAAGTTTATTAAAGGTGGGTCCAAAGTAATCATCAAAGACAATGTCACACATACATAATTATAGCCGACCCTCCAACACGCTTTTGTTGAATGAGTTAGAACTCAATTTAGGGCAAAGCACAATGCTACTTTACCAAAGTTGGTTAAAGGTTGGTCTAAAGTAAACTCTCTCTCTCTCTCTCTCTATATATATATATATATATACATATATGTATATATATGGAAAATTAATATAAATTACACATCAAAGAAAATGTATCACACACATAATATTTAACAGTTTATTTAATTTTTTTTTTCTTTATGTCAATGCCACGCTGTCAAATTCAGTGGTATGCCACATTGACATGGTGATTGCTGATTGGTTAGCTACTACTGACACTTCTGCTTTTTTTCTCTTTTCTTTTTTCCCTTCAACGTGAGAACCACCACTCCTTTCGCGCGAAAATACCTCCCCACCATGAGCACATAATTAGGTGGTACCCAATTCCTTTCTTGCATGTCTTTTCCAGAAAAATTAAAAAAAAAATCTGTACTTTTTCATTTTTTTGCCTTGGAAAATGTTCTGTCTTCTATATGTTAATACATTCTAAATCTGTAATTTTTCCTTTTTTTTCTTCGAAAATGTTCTGTCTTCCTACTATATGTTAATGCTTTCTATGTGTTCAATCCTTGTTGAGAAAGAAATATATAGAGAGAGAGAAAGAAATATATATATATATATATATATAGAGGGGTTCCATGTTTGTTTGGCTAGAGAGAAAAATTAGAGGATCAGTTTGGAGAGATGTTGCATAGAGCTGCACAGAATGCATATTCATGGTGGTGGGCAAGCCATATCAGGACAAAGCAATCCAAATGGCTGGAACAAAGCCTCCAGGGTATTTTCCTGATTAAATTTTCACTTGGGTTTTAGTTGATTTGGTTTTAATTAATGATTTCAGACACACACACACACACACACATATTCATAGTAAAACTTTGTTTGAGATATGTATTACTTTCCAATCTATTGAAATGCTTTGGCTTTGGTTGATTTGGGTTTTAAATGATTCTACACAAACACACAAATTTTGGGTTTTACTTGATTTGGGTTTTGGTTGATTTAGGTTTAAGTGATTCTACACACCCACACACACACACACACACACATAAATCTTTGCTTGATATATGTCTTGCTTCAGTCTATTGCATATTTTGCCTGTTTACCAAAAAAAAAAAAAAAATATCAAAAAAATCTATTGCATATAAATTATATCAAGTGCATTGGGTTTTGGTTGATTTGAGTTTTAAGTGATTCTAAACACATATGCATATAAAACTTTGATTGAGATATGTCTCATTTCCAATTTATTGCATATGAATTATATCAAGTGATTCATACTTTTATTTTTTAGTTTGTATTTCTTTTATTTCCTGTCAAAAACTATTTGAGTTGAAAATTTTGCGACAGAGAGAATCTCTTTTCTGAAATATTTGATTAATGGGAAATACTTAATTGGGAAATTGGATTCTTGAATTTTGATTCCTACAAGTCAGCAATCTTATATCTTTAGATAGTTTGATAACAATCACAATCTCATATTTATGTTGCGAAAAGAAAAATGTAAAACTGTAATTTCAAAATAGATAAATGGTCTGCATTTATAGTTGAAGATAAACTGACTGAAAAAATGCCTATGAATGGCCTGCTTAGTATCTGGAAACAATTTCCCAGTAAAACGCAGGCCGTTTTTGCAGCTAGCAATTTTCTTATACTCTTATGACAATTTGAAATCCGAGAACTTCATGCCAATTATGTGAACAAAACTTGCATAATTCACGAACCTCTTTAAATTTCTGCTACATTTTGGCAAGAAGTGATATCTTAGAAACTTCTTTCCATTACATCAATTTTTACCTTTTACAAACTTCCCGTCACCTTTTTTACATTTTAACTTTTGTGAACTCAAAGATGGTTTGTGTTTCTTGTCATGGTAAAAAAAAGAAAAAAAAAATGCCGAAGTTCATGGGAATAGCTTCAAAAAGCTAAAATTTCTTTCATCTAGTGTATGGAAAGGAAAAATAAATAGAAGAAACAAAAATTACCTCCTATTTTATTAAGAGTAAATAAATTATAAGATAATCGGTATGTTATTTTTTTGCAGGGGAAATATTGTTCAGACATCTAGAACCTACTAACCTTTTCTGTAATTATTTGGTGCTAGACTGCTAGTATGCCATAAGCATGAACTATAAAATCCTAGTTTTGATGAAAGTACATCAATTTCTACATTTCTTTCAGTTTCATACCAATTCGAAAATTTCATAAAATCTTAATTCCGTTCTAAAAACTTACCTCTACTTGATAGTGACTTGTGATTATGTCTTCTTATCAACCACAATACTTGATGAAGAAAATGAATTTAAACCTTAGTGCCTGTAAATAAACTGGTTTTGAGTTGTCGCATTCAAGCTTCATATGTGTCTAATGACAAAGTGAGGAGAGGAAAAATAATTTCAAAACCATAGCATATTAATCGTTTGGTTTAACTTTTATGAGCTCTACATGTATACGAAACCTGTTCAACTCTAAATCTGTTATATGGAATTGCAGATATGGAGGAGAAGGTGCAAGATGTGCTCAAACTCATTGAACAGGATGGAGACTCCTTTGCCAAGAGGGCAGAAATGTACTACAAAAGAAGGCCAGAGCTAATTAGCTTCGTGGAAGAAACTTTCCGAGCTTACCGAGCCTTAGCTGATAGGTATGACCTCTTATCGAAAGATTTGCAAAATGCTAACACCACCATTGCTACCGTTTTTCCTGAGCAAGTACAGTTTGCAATGGATGACGAAGAAGAATGTGGTGGTCCTATAAAACCAAAGAATTCTTCACAAGTCCCACCAAAGAATGTCCCGGCAGTGCCTAAGGTTCCAAATAAAGAGTTAAGGGGTCTCATAAAATCAGCCACAAGGCAAATGCAATCTAAGAAGTCATCAAAAACAGTTCCGAAGTCCGGTTTGAGCAAATCAGAGGCAGTTGAAGAGATTGACAATTCTCAGAAAGAAATTTTGGCCCTACAAACTGAGAAGGAGTTTATCAAGAGCTCTTATGAAAATGGACTTGCAAAGTTCAAGGAAATAGAGAAACGCATCACAGAGAAACAAATGAGGGTTTTCAGCTTGCAAGATGAATTTGGTGTGGCCAGGGCCATTGAAGATGACGAGGCTCGGACTTTGATGGCAGAATCGGCTTTGAAATCATGCCAAAAAAGCTTGGCTACTTTGGAAGTGAAACAAGAGAATACAACAAAGGATGCAAAAGCAGAGTCCAAGAGGATTGAGGATGCTCACGAGAAACTAAAGATCCTCAGGAAGAAGTTTCTTCCCGATCAAACTGATCAAGAAAAGCAATCAGACAAGTTTGAAGCTGTGAAAGTGGAAACAAAGTCACAAAGCTTAAACCAAGAAGGCAGTGTGACAAAAGAGCGACGGGAAACGGAGGTAAAACAGGAGAAGATTAAGGACCACTTAGAGGTGGGGTCCTACTCCTCTCTCACGGTGGAAGAAATGGCAGAGAAGATCGATCAGCTTGTGAATAAGGTTATTAGCCTAGAAAATGCGGTTTCGTCTCAAACTGCTCTTATGAACAGATTAAGAACAGAAACCGATGATCTTCATGCACAAATTCGGATTTTGGAAGATGGTAAGGCAACTCTCATTTATGGCACGGACAATGTGAGCAACACGCTGACGGAAATGGAGGAAAAGTTGAATGGGATTCAGGATCTAAACCGGAACGTTGAATGCCAAAACAACAACCTCCAAACACAATTTACTGAAACTCGTTGCAGCTTTGATCACCTGTCTGAGAAATTGCATAGTGTGAAGCCTGATGAAGAGGTTGGGATTACAGATTCAGTACAAGAAAAGAATGGGCCCCTTGTTGAAGTCAAATCACCAAAGATGTTGGAAAAACAAGATATGCCAAGTCCTAGTGATGGTTGCGTGGACTCCAGAGATTTGAAACCAGAAGTGGGAGAGGATAAAGGAGATTTGAAACCAGAAGTGAGAGAGGATAAAAGAGATTTGAAGCCAGAAGTGGGAGAGGATACAAAAGAACAGGTCCCGAGTACACCTGTTAAAGATGAAGGAGAAGAGGAAGAAGAAAAAGTTATTCATTCCTGCTCAAGCATCGACATTGAGTCTGTTTCCCAGGAACAGCAAGTTTCAAAATCATCAGAAGAAGTTGATAAGCACGGTATCTCTCATACATCTGGTAATGTTAACGCTAAACCATGGGATGCACCACAGGAAGCAGCAGACTCAGACTGGCAGCAGATGCTTTTGGAGGGGGTGGAGGATAAAGAGAAGATTCTGATGACAGAATATGCTACGATGCTCAGGAATTATAAAGAAGCTAAGAAGAAGATCAGTGAAGCAGAGAAGAAAAATCGGGATAGTGTCTTTGCAATGGCGGTGCAGCTAAGACAACTAAAGAGTACTATTGCAAAGAGGGATGAAGAGATTCAAAGTTTACGTCAGAAACTGAACCTTGTTGAAGCAAGTTTCGATGGAAGTAAGGATTTGAAAGATGATAAGAGAACAGTTTCTGATTTGTCAATTGATCAAACCACTGAAATTTCACAAACTCCTTTGGAAAAGAAGGAAGAAGACGAAGACATCAATTTGATTGTGAATGATGAAGATCAAGCCATGTCACCAATTGAAGAGAAGCTTAGAAAGAGCATCGATGAAATCCTTGAAGAGAACCTTGATTTCTGGTTAAGATTCAGCACTTCATTCCATCAGATACAGAAATTCAAGACTGAGGTCCAAGATTTACAAGATGAAATATCAAAAATTAAGGAAAAAGAAAAGTCAAAGCAAGAGGGAAGTACTAAGGCGGACCTAAGGTCAGATGTTCGGCCAATATATAAGCACCTGAGAGAGATACGGACTGAACTAACAGTCTGGCTAGAACACAGCGGATCACTGAAAGATGAATTGCAGCACAGAATCGCGTCTATATGCAACATTCTAGACGAAATAACAGAAGCTTTGAACGAGGGTGTGGAAGAAGAAGACATGAAGTTCACTAGTTACCAAGCTGCAAAGTTCCAAGGTGAGGTAATGAACATGAAACAGGAGAATGACAAGGTTAGCGATGAATTGCAAGCTGGTTTAGATCATGTAACTGCACTTCAGCTTGAAATCGAGAAGACCCTAGAAAAGCTGAACAAGCAATTCGGGCTTAATGAATCAAAAAATCAGAATCAACCACAGTTGGAACAGTCAACAAGTCGGCCTAAGGTCCCTTTAAGTTCGTTTATCTTTGGGGTCAAACCAAAGAAGCAGAAGCATTCATTCTTCCATAGTATGAATTATAAAAAATCCCATGAACAGAAAAATGGATCCCCAATGTAAAAATTGTTTAATTTCATCTTATTCAATTTTTATGTTCCATTTCTTTGATTCTTATGGATGGTGTGTAGGTAGATGCCAAAGGTTCTTTTCATGTTCAGATCTGAAGCAGTAAATGTATGTTTGTCGCGTACTATAGACTAGGAAATGTGTGTTTATTGTGTATTGTAGACCGTTTGGATTTCAAAATTAAAACGACGGTGGTCTTGCCGCCATTTTGAGTTGCATTCTTCGTGTTTTCTGTATGGGAGTTTTTCTTGCATTCCTCTGTCTTTCCTTCTCATATCAGAATCTTATCTAGTGATCATGCATGGAAGAGGCACCTGGGAAAGTATGAAAGGATGATGAATTAAGATGCAAAATCTGTGCAGAGTTTGGGCTATATTTTGAGTTGCATTCTTCGTGTTTTCTGTATGGGAGTTTTTCTTGCATTCCTCTGTCTTTCCTTCTCATATCAGAATCTTATCTAGTGATCATGCATGGAAGAGGCACCTGGGAAAGTATGAAAGGATGATGAATTAAGATGCAAAATCTGTGCAGAGTTTGGGCTATTGTTATGCAATAAGCTCGGTGGCCACCCAGCGTACAGTTGCTTTATAGCATGCGCAATGACATATCATCCGAATTTGGAGAATGTCGAATATGGGATAGGTGAGTAGCAGTGTGGGCCCCGCCACAAGATGTGAGGGACTCGGGGTACACCACCAACTCACGTATCCCATATTTGGCATCCTCTGAATTTGAAAGATGGATCATTTTTCTTACGACATTTTAGTGAGCTGCATTTGAAATGGTTGAAGACTTCAGTAAATGTTATGCCATCATTCTGCTTGTTTCTGATTGATTTTGAATATCATCACCAGTGCATTCTGTTTCTGGTAACACACTCAGTATTCAATGTATTTTGTATATTTGGGCCATTTGAGGGTGTTTGTGTTTACACTCCTTTTGAGAACAGAATCTATTTCCTTCCAATCCATGCAACCAAACCAAATTTATTGTGTCAACTCGGATTGAACTTGAAGTGTTTCAGTGTTATTTTTGGAGCTACAACAGGAAAGAGAAATAAAATTAGAATTTTTTGTAAATTAAAGTTTACATCATTCCGTTTCTTGTTATTTTGATAATGTTTAGATTTTAAGGTTATTTTGGTATTTTTATTAGGTTTTGTTTAATATTTTGTCTGTATAAAGCTCATATGTAACCAGACAATTCAATGTATTTTGTTAACAGAGACGGAGTGGAACTGTAATTTCAAAATGTTTAACAGCTTGGATAATCCTATGAATTAAATAAAGCTTTAAGAAAAATGTGAATGATGGTGGATCATTAAATGATGATTGCAAGCTCCAAGAGCATAAATGGGTTTTTTTTTTTTCATTTGGTTTCACTACCTTTATAACATATTTTGGTTATCATCAATATATTTTTTTAAAAATGAAAGCCTAAAAGCAATCGGTGTAGTGTTTGTTTTGCCAGTTGAGAAGTCAGAGGGGCTAGTGTATTGTTCGATATGCGGCTGGCAAATAGTGGGCCCCATGTGAAGAATCGCAAGAGCAATTGTTGCAGGTAACATACTATTGCGAGGGAAATTAGGCCCACAAATTGCAACGGTTAAGAAAATAAGTTATACACTGCTTGAAAAAAATAAAGGTAACCATATGTATTAAAAAAATAGCAACGGCTCTTTAATTTTTTTTTTTTCTTTTGGTTTTTTTATTTACTATTTTCTTTTATATGTAATTTATTTTTATTGTAAAAAAAAATATTTATGATTTATGATTTTGATAATTTATTTTTTATTTTTATTTTAAAAAAATATGTTTGATATCTATTTCTTTGCCTTTTGAAAAAAATTTCTTTAAAATTTGTTAACAAATATATAAGAAACAAAAATCTTAAAAATAATATTATATTCATCACAAACAAACAATACAAAGAAATACATTTTACTTAATATTATCGTTCAACTTCTTCATTACCAAATTTATTCCACAATTTGTGAGAAATTATGCAATGTCTTTTTATTTTATTTATTTAATTGTGAGAAAATATGTAATGCATTTTTATTTTATTTATGTAATTGTGAGAAAATATGTAATGTCTTTTTATTTATTTATTTAATTGTAAGAAAATATGTTACTTTAAATTTATTAAAAGAATTATTCCATTCAAATATATATATATATATATATATATATATATATATATATATAAAATATAAAATCATGTGGTTGAAAAAATAGCCGTTTTAAAAAATACAAACAAACAAAAAAATAAATATGTTTTTAATTTTTTTTACTCAAAATATTAAATATATAAAAAAATACAAAATAAATAATAAAATAATAAATAATGATTAACCCATACCGTGAACAACCGGTAGCAATACACTATAACTAGCCACATCAACGACCAGTAACAATACACTGTAACTAGCCACATCAACATTGCTAGCCATAGCTATACCGGCTGCCCTAAGTTGTTAATTATCGTAGCATCCTCATACCTTCATTTCTGCTGCATGAACGATTTGTCTTGTGAGAGGGACACGTTTTGGAAGAAATTCTACTATTTTACATATTTCATGGGCAGTCTATGTTTATATCTTTAAAAACTACATAGATCATTGTAGAAAGAAACCCTAAATGGTAAATGTACATTTGTACATTTTATACTTTTTAGTACCAACATAGAAAATTAAAGATTACCAATAGAACACACATGAACTACACACCCTCCAAACATGAGAAACTTGTATTAATGGTTTAAGGACATTTGTACATTGTATACTTCTTAGTACCATCACACATCACACAGAAAGTTAAAAATTACACATAGAACAACCATATAAACTACACGCCCTTTAAACACAAGAAGTTTGCATTCCAAAATATTCACAGAGAGGGTCGAGATTATGGCCCCTAGAGTATATCAAACGACACTTCAGACACCACCTTTGCTCCCCTTCCTTAGTGGTAAATAGTGGCCGTTGTGGGGAGTATCGAGAGTAATGCTTATTCTCTTGCTATGATGGTATTATCTTAAGGATGTTTAAGGAAGAATCACTTGGTAGGGGCTTGATGGTCCGGTGGGATGATAGGTTTGAACTATTGTTTGGAATGAGTGACAGTAGAGGTGTTATGGTGTGGTGTTTAGTACTAATGAGCATAATAGTTTAAAGTATAATCCAATGATGGATTAGAGATTGTAAGTTGATTATTTTGTGTTGTTTGGTAAGTGATGGGGTTGTGTGCTAGTCGAGGTGATTGTGGATTGTTTAGTCTTTTAGAGCCAATGAGGATGATGTTGCCAGATATGCACCTTTTTCTTTTCACAAGTCAGTGTGTTGTTGTGACTGAGATCACGGGTCTTTTGTGCACGATGATCGAGGCAGTATCGATTGGGAAGGTAAAGATGGAATGGGTGGTGAAGTGTTATTTTATGGCTCAGAGGTTGTCATTGGGAGTGACTGATTCTAGGTAGAACGGGATGCGGCGTCCAACGTACTGTGATCGTTTCTAGTGTTGGTACGCTGTGAGCAATTGGTGCTCTTATCTGATTGGTTTTGGTTAGCATGGGTGTTGCGGAGTAGCGTATGCAAGGTTCCAATGTTGATAGTGTATGACGGTCCGTTAGTGACGAGGTCGCTTAGAGTTGTGTTCGTAGTTCCGTACGGGTATCCAATTGGTTCTTCTCATTGTGTGTAAGGAGTTCAGTTCTCCTCAGGTGAGATTGGCTGTCTACGGTTAAACGATTGGTTAGCAGCGTGTGACAGGGTGTCAGATGCATTCAGGTACGAGTCGTCAGTCTCTTGTAAGAGCGGGATTCATTACCCTTTCCATTTGTTCTAGTCTTGACAAGGACGTCGTTTGTCGTAAGTCTTGTTCTCCATTTAGAAGTTGTGCGCATCCACGGATGGGCGGACCCGTGTGTGGTTTGTTATGCGGTTAGAGTTCACCGGTAAAGGTTTGGTTGTATTGATCAACTCATTCCCATGGAGGGAGGTGGAGTCCTGGGTTTTAATAGTGCTTGTTCTGAGAGTAGTCTTGACCGGTGGTATGTGAGGCACGAGTTGCCGAATAAGGATTATGTGTTTCCGGTGTCTAGTACTAGCGGTGATGGTTAAGGGATGTGTCGTGAACTGTAAGTTCGAGGATGATTAAGTAATGTGATGTGAATCATGTATTTGGGTGTTTTTGTAGACGTTTGATTAGAGCAGTGTCTTGAGGACAAGTGTTGGTGTTGTTTGAGTGCTAAGCAACTAGAGATATGAATATGAGGTTCCATTGAGGAATAATGGGAATGATTGATTTTGGTTTTGAGATCTCAGGCATGAGATAGTCGTACATATTGTGTGTTTTGACGAGGTGAGAATTGAATCGAATGATATTAGGGAGTTGTTTACACGGTATGGGTGTTATGAAGAGATCGGAGAGCCTTTATGCGGGTAGATGATTATAGTATTTGGTGCCGCATTACTTTTAGCTTGTTATGGTTGGGTGATTGAAGTATGATTGGGATTTTTAGAGCAGGTATGTGATTGTATAATTATTGAGATTGCGTAGATTGATGAATTAATAGTGAGTGGATCTCATGGTTGTTTGTGGACTATGTGAGATTGTGTTTGAGGTTTGGACCTAAGGACAGGAACAACGTCTGTATTGAAGTCAGATCGATGATGAGAATGGCCTGGCCAACCATTTCTCCTTAATCAATCAATCTTTAGCATGATGTTGGGTTAAAGGTCAATGATTGTTTCAAATTGTTAGTGATAGTGAGAGCATGGTACTGTGCGTTATGTCGGTGTGACAGTGTGGATTCAGATGATTTGTCTTAGGTAACGAGGTGTATAGGTAGGACCAAGTGTCCAACCATTGATTATTGAGGATCTTGTTTTGAGGATTTATGTCCTGGTGATAGAGAACAGTGCCAGCAACCTTTTAAGGTGTATAAAAGGCGTGGCAAGGAGGGTTCTAAGGCTCAAACCTTAATTTGGCACATGCTAGACGATAGGTCCACTTGGAGTCTTGCATAATTAGGGGGATTTGGTCAAATTGCATAATTATGGTAACTTCCACTTGGAGTCTTGCATAATTAGGGGGATTTGGTCAAATTGCATAATTATGGTAGCTTGCATCAATTTCGATCAAATTACATCCGTCCATAGTAATTACTTTTATTATGCTAGAGTCAAATATTGATTATCTCAATTACGGGGTGATTA